TATAGCTACAAGTGAAGCTGACCTAAGGCACATGATAGCACTGAATCTCCATAATTAAAGTAACCATAATTTCACCCTATAAAATCATCAGATAGCCTAATTTTGCATAGGGCTTTAAAATTTATTTATTTATTTATTTTAAATGTTTTTATTTATTTCTAGGAAAGAGAGAGAGAGACAGTGTGAGCAGGGGAGGGTCGGAGAGAGAGGGAGTCACAGACTGAAACAGGCTCCAGGCTCTGAGCTGGCTGTCAGCACAGAGCCCGACGCGGGGCTCGAACCCACGAACCGCGAGATCATGCTAAGCGAAAGTCAGACGCTTAACCGACTAAGCCACCCAGGCGCCCCAAAGGGCTTTACAATTTAAAAGGCATTTTCACATATTCTGGTACATCATTTAATCCTGACATAAGGTATATGAATAGGACAGCCATTCTGGTTCCCATTTACAGGTAAAAAAGTTATGGTTATCTTTTGATTTAAATCAGCTCTTTCCATTAGAGTGTATTATTTTAAATCCCTTCTAAGAAAGACCCTTGTTAAGAGCCAATGTAGACAGCTCGCTAGACACGTGGGTACAAAAGTTTTAAATATATTTCAAAGACAGTATAAACTCGTGTGCTCCGATTTGATCTTAAATAAAGTACCTATTTATGGTCAGTTATCTATTAACAGACCTTCCTTACTGAAGACTCCTTGTTTGAAAATATTCCTACAAACACAAAAGCAGAAAGAATGAATAAAAGGACTGATTTTGCTGAGCCCATTTTCTTAATCACAAAGCCGTATTTCAAATCAAAGAAAATACCTGGCTTCCATTTCCTATTAACATTCTAATATTTTCAGAATTCAATTTAAGTGAATATTGCGGTAGCCAGCCTCTAAGATAGCCCCTATGACCCTACTCTCCTGGTATTCACACCCATGTACATGAATAAATACTCCTGCTTCCCTGCTGAGCGTGGGCTAGACTTAGTGACTCCCTTCTAACGAACAGAATAAGACCCAACTGGAGATAGGTCATAAAAAGCAGGGTGACTTCATTCCTTTTCTCTCTATGGAGAGGCGCACATGACCAGGAAGTGAAGCCACCTACCAACAGTCATGTGAATGAACTTGAAAGTAGATGCCTCAGCTTCAGTTGTCTTCAGAGACTGCACAGTCCCAGCCCTGAGCCAGTGACTGAAACACTATCTTGACTGTGGATAGTGTTCACATGGATGTGTACGATTGTTAAAACTCAAATCTATACAATTAAAAGGGGTGCATTCTATTGTACGGTAAGTATATTTATCAATAAAGTTAATTGCTTATACAGGCCACTGAATCCTTGGGATAAGCAGATGAAGGGTCACTTATGAAAAAGCTGTGCCATAACTTAAGAAGGGCGGGTGGTAAGAAAACAGAAGTGCATTAACAAGCCACTATCACAAACATACATGTCATAAACTGCTCCTCAAAACTGATCCACCCACAGCCTTTCCTATCTCAGATGACAGCAATCCCATACTCCCAGTTGCTCCTGCCAAAAACGCTGGAGTCCTTCTTGACTCTCACACCCCACATCGGATCCATAAGCAAATCCTGTTGGCTCTACTGCAAAATACATTCAGACCATGATGGCTTCTCACTACCTCCACTGCTACTACCCTAGCCTCTCGCCAAGATCACTGCAACAGCCAAACTGGTCTCCCTGCTTCGCTCTTGCCCCTCTACAGCCTATTATTAACCCATATCCTTTCAAAACCTAAGGCAGATCCTTTCATTCATCTGCTCAAAAACCTGAAATTGCTCCCCATTTCACTCAGAATAAAAGTCCATGCCATTTCAAGGTCACATAAACTGGCTCCCTGTTATTTCCCTCTTCTCATCTCCTATTACCCTCCTCCTTGCACAATCTACTCCAGGCACACTGGGTTGCCTGCTGTTTATCAAACATACGCTCCCACTCTAGGACCTTTACAGTGACTGTCTCCTCTGTCTGGAATATCTTTCTCCTGATACCTGCATGGCTTATCATTCTCTAACCTTCTTCAGCTCTCTGCTCAAATATGGCTTTCTTTATCCAGATCATTCTATTTAAAATTTTCATTGATCATCCTTATTCTATTTGACTTTTCCTTTTTTTCCAGAGCACTTAACACTTTGTGACATATTATATAACTTACTTATTATGTATATTGTCTATTCTACACTCCTTCCATAAAACACTCTCCAGGTAAGGATCTTTGTTTTGTCCACTGATGCGTCTCCAGTGCCTAGGACGGTGCCTGGTAGATGTTCAACAAGTACCTTTTGAATGAATGAACTCCTCTGTCAGGTACTGGGCTAAGTACTTTATATACACTATTTCATTTAATCACCAGGGCAACCTTGGGAAGTATGCATTAACCTCATGTTATAACTGAGGACCATAGAGGTTAAATAAATTGTGCAAAGCTGTATGTTAGTAAATGAAGCCAGGACTTAACTCAAGTATGCCTAACTCCAAAGCCCTGACCACAGTTTTCTCAAAGTTGGGTGTGAATGGGAAGAGAACTAAGCTGCTTGAGGACGTGACAAGGCTGAGAGTATGCAGAAGAAAAGACACTAATCTGCAATCCAATATAAGAAGGAGAGTCAAATAATTAACATTTGGGGAAATCCCTTCCATTTTTCTTTGCTTCTAGTCCTAGTCCTATGGGGACAGATTTAAAAGTTAACTGTTATCAGAGAGAGGCCATAACAAAGGAGTAGGAAAAATAAGAGACCTCAAAGTTTGAGCTCCATGGTTGAGAAAATATGGGTCAGTACCTTTTCTCTAAATTCACTGGTATACTTTATCCCACTGGAATGGAGCAATATACTAGTAGTTTCTTATTTGGTTTTTTTTGTGACCTCATGTTTTTTCTTCTGGATCCTATAAGCGCAGTACAGGTGCTGAAAAGTATATTTAAAAAGTACATAATCTACATATAAACATTTATAGATTTAATTCTAAGGGAAAGATACTGAATTTGCCACTGTTACTACTCTTGGAACACAGCCACACTCATTTGTTTACATACTGTCTATGGCTTCTTTTCCACTAGAACAGCTGACTTGAGCAGCTGCAATAGGATCCACATGCGTGCAAAACTGAAAATATCTGATATGTGCTCTTTAACAGAAAAAAACTGCTAAAACAAATATTAATAAAATATATGTTTCCTGATAACTTACACCAGTTCTATCAATTTTCTAGGTATATCTGAAAACATATCCCCTAAATGCTAAAACAGTCATAAAACATTTTTGTTATTATTGGTCATGTAACTGAAAACATGTCAATGGCTTAAGTCCAAGAATAATGTGGTCTTCAATCTGGTAAACAGTTACCATTAAATTAATTTAAGCAAACATACTTTCCAGTAGAGTTAACACCATTAGTTATTAAATACTGGAAAAAATGGGTAACTCTGAGATGTTCATTCTGAAGGGTTTAAAATAGTTTAGCATTAAAAGTGAGGAAAAACTTTTTTTGGCTTCTGTCTGTAGTATCTGAGCTACAATGTTAAATAAACATTCAAAAAGTGTTTTGGGGGCACCTGAGTGGCTCAGTCAGTTGAGTGCCTGACTCTTGATTTTGGCTCAGGTCATGATCTCACAGTTGTGAGATCAAACCCCACATAGGACTCCACACTGAGTGTGGAGCTTGCTTGGGATTCCCTCTCTCCCTATCTCTCTCTGCCCCTCCCCTGCTTATGCTCTCTCTCAAAATAAATAAAGAAACATTAAAAAAAGTGTTTTGAACAAGGAAAATATAACTTCTTCATTGAGTTACACTTACCTGCACAAAAACAGATAAAAAAGCAATAATCCTACAATGACTTCCCAACTTCTTCCTTCTATACAATAATTATCAGATAGTTAAACTTGGAACATATGCTTTTAATCTTCCAAGCAAAACAAGCTAATACATAGGAAAGCAAATTACTTATTACTCATTTAAAAAATTCTGTAATCTATTTTCCCTCTCCCTTTCCAAAGATTAGTTGGTTTATCACCCACAAAAAAAAAAAATCAAACCTTATTTCATAAAATTAAAACAAAAAATTTTTTATTATATATACATAAAACCAGAAATTTTTTTTCTAATACATATACAAAGATCTCTGAATTACAAAATGCATTATGTTTTGCAAATAAAGAGACAGGTTATGCTATTCATGACGACACTTAGAAAATTGAGCAAGTTGATAAAATCAGGTATGGAAACACACTGAAAGGAAATCCAAGAAACACTGAATATAAAATGACGCCAAAAAACATTTCTCTTTAAGTATTTTATTTCATTAAGAGTCAACTTCTACATTAAACGAAGAACCAATCCAAGATATTATTCACTAAAATTTTACCAAAACAATGTTATGCATTTAAATTAGAACTTAAAAGCTCTCAGCTTAAACATTTCATAGCTTCAAACTAAACTTCCACCATAAAAATTTTAAGGCATTGATTTCTTTTCCCAGCTTTTCCTAAAAATAAAAACATTATTTCCAAGTTAAAGTTTTCACTGTTCTTGCCAAAATTAAATTTGAAGTAGTAACAGAAATAGAAAGCTGCCCATGAGGTATTTCTAAATATTATTAAATTTTATGCCTACAGAGCCTTTCCCCATGTTTGTCTTCACTTTATTTTTTTACAGCATGGCAGTCACCTAGATTCGTAAAACAAAAAATTTTCTATCAACCCTTTTAAAGGAATTAAGTTTTAAAAATTAAATGAGAGAAAGCACACTATTCTCTTTAAGAGCCAGAAGTTTCTATGATGAATATTATGTACATGAAATCAGTGACAAAATCATATAAAAAATTTGACAGCGATTTTTTAAATTGTACTACATTCTTATAACATGAAAACAAATCTGACCATATGTCTGTATAATCACACCTGTGATCTCTCCATTAAACTGTAAATCTTCAGATAATCTCTAATAAAACAATCCATAGCATTTCAAATTCCAAAGAAATGTTTCCTACCTTTCCTGCTTCTCTTTCTAAGTCGACATACTCCCGGCTAGGTGTCTGTCGTTGTTCTCCCTGCCAGCTGGCCGGAAAAAACTGGAGAGACAGATTGGTTCCTGTGGCCACAAAAGCCTTTTAGAAAAATCAATACAAACAGGATCAGGAGCAGGACATTACATAAATTATGCAGGCAGTCATTTATTTTTACATCAGTTTCTGTCTTAAGCCAGGCAGCACCGAGAATACTTAAAAGTAAAAAACACACACTCATCATTTTTCTTAAGTATTAAGTTACAAACATCTGATTCCATTTTGAGGACATTTGCCATTGGCCGCTTAAATATAAAATCAGACATGGAATCAATACTTTCTTTCAGGTCATTTTTTGCTGACGTTAGGATCTCGCATTGCTAATGTCTAACCAGAAGCCATCATCCTTGAATTTAAAAACTAGTATTTTTAAATGCGGAAAATCACTGAAGATCTAAACATTTTGAATTGTAAAGCATTCCACAATTTAAAGTTGTATAAATGAGACATTTTAATTTCTCTTGATTTCCCTTGGTCAATAAAACACTATGCTTTAAAGCTTAGGTTAAAAATGCTCACGACGGTCTCTTCTGATAAAAGATACATTAGCATGTGATGTGACAGAACTTCTCATCTCTCTAAAACCTTAGGTGATTTAAAAAATATGCATTTTCTAAAATTCAGGAGAACTGGATTGGACTATACAAAAGAATATTCATCTAATATTTATAATAAGATTTGGATGCATGGTTCAACAGATGGAACTATCTAAACCATTTCAATAAAGTAGTCTGTGTAGCCTCTAAGCAATTTATATTTCCTCCTAGTAAAAAACGGAAATAATGTTGTCCCTCTTCCCAAGAGAAATTCAGAGAGAAAGAAATAAATAAAAAGCATTTTGAAAAAAACCAAACATTTTTTCATCATCTAAATGTAAATAAATTCTTCTTTCTTTGTTGAAATGGGAGAACATTTTTGTTTTATTTTACTAATTAATTAAAGTTCTACAACATACTTTGTGTTTCCAACCAAAGAGTCTTCATCTGAAAAAGCAAGGGGTTCAAATTTGGGGCAATTTGTTTAAAACCACTGGCTGAGTCAGCTACCTGCTAGTACCCCAGAGAATTTAGTTTAGATTCTTTAGAGGTAAAAATTTATTCTTTCTATTTCTATTATTGGTACTTCAGGTACAACTGTCAACTTAATTGCTATTGCTCTACAGACATCTTTGACGGTATTTCCCTAATCAACTGGATACTCTTTCTTGTGGCAAATACTCTACATTAATAGGAACTGAACAAACAACAATATTACAACATTAACCTTAAAAAAAAAATCTTCCTCCATTAATAAAACCAAGTTTAAAAAACAATCAAATGGAGTGAAATGAACCTAGAGTTAAAAAAAAAAGCAGACTCTAGAAGTCAAACTGTCTAGGTTCTATGACTTGAAGCAAGTTACTTAGTTATACTTCAGTTTCTCCAGTAATTAATATTTGTAACGTGCTTACATAGCACCAAGTAAATGTGATTTAAGTATTTGCTAAGTAATATTAGAGAAATCATTTGGAGCTGGGTAAGAGAGCTAACTTTTTCAGTGTCAGATAATAAATTCTCAGAGTGGAGTGGTGGCAGGCAGGTAAGAGAGTCAGCCCATGAATGAATGCCTGTATCAAAATCCCCAGGCATGTTTCTTTAGTATTCACCTAGTAACAAATCCTTCCACCCCCAGTGTATCCCAAATCAGCTCTGTGCTAAGTAAAGAAAGTCTACAGATCTTATTACCTCACCTCCTGTCTGAAGACCAACCTGAGAAGAGATTTCCTGCTTCATCACTTCATGCCCATTATCTCATCAAGATCCCTCTCTCTGAGAGAGAAGTGGTAAAAACAGATCATTCTATAATAGCATTTCATGAATTTATTTGACCACAGAACTCTTTTTAATGGAATATCTATGCACACATAACAACTAGGAAAATTCTGTTCAAAAACATAAAAATGCTACAATGGTTACCATTGACTACATAAAAGATTTTCAGGTTGTCCTGATGATTATTTTACAGGTTTCACAAATTACAAAATAATATCCCTTGTGCCAATCCAACACATCTTTACCCTGTCATCTTCAGGATTAAAAATGTATATTTTTTACTGCTGTCAGAGTCGTTATCATACCTGTCCTAAGAATTCTTTTCTTTTATTAATCATTGGCATTGAATACTTCTCCAACACTTATCACAAAAAGAACTTAAAGGGAATAAATCAGACTTTGACCAATAGATTCTACCCCTCACCCGTAATCACTTTTATATTAGTGCTATGATAAGGAGTCTAGGTAAGTTTTAGAGTTATAATCACATCCATCTAAATACAAAATAAATTCATTAACTTCGGTGATACACTAAGATGTTCAAAATTAAAAGAGGAAAAAGGGAGGGAGGTTGGTAATAGTTTTGGAAACTATGCCTATTTTTACCATATATAGCTGCTGTCAAAACAGAGGCAAAATAATGCCTTTTCCACACCTACTTTCCACAGCCAAATAAATAAAAGCCACAGCTTGTTCCTAAATAAAAAGATAAATTTTAGACATTATACTAGGTAACCTCTAAATTCAATTAATCAAGTACCTATGATACAAAAGACATTATGCAGAGTACCTGTTTAGAGGGGAGTATATTAATGTATACACCACAGAATTAACGTGGTCTCCACCCTCTAGGGATCCTGCCATTTAAATGTGGAGAATACTGAATTAAAGGGGAGGGGGGACTAGAAAGAGGGGGAATGTAAAATTCCTTTCCAAATACAAACAGTTACATCATTCAACAAATTAAGACATGTATTCTATCTTATGTGTACATCTTATGCAGAATTCAATCTACCTTTAACTTTTAATACTTGTCAGATATTAAGAACTTATTAAAATTTGTAGACCAGATATTTGGAAGAGAGGAAGGCCTAGAATATCTGTTCGATTTATCCCTTGAAGAAATATGTGCTAAATACAAGCAACCTATAATTCTTCTATAATATTATAATACAGCAGTTCAGATATATTATGGGTTAAATTATACTCCCAATTCATAATTACATGCAATAAAGTCTCTGATATGACAGAAAATACCCTAATAGCTATGCTTCACTAGTATTACAAAAAAAACACCTCAGCTCTAAAAAAATCATGACAGTACTTTGTACCGTATCTTTCACACTTACATCTATTAACTCCAGGAAATCCATTGGTTAGGTATACCATCCACCTTTTGCAAAAGGAAACCCAGACAAAGGATGATATAATCACTGGAACAACTAATGAATGATTCTTCTACCGTTCAATGCCAAAACGAAAGAAAGTATGTGTCTCAGACATTTTAGTCATATAATTATTATAACTACTCAAGAAACTTGGAAGTGGGCTAAAAGCTGGAGATTTTTTCCTGACATGCACTAATGTCCAAATATTCTAGAGCTCCTAAGAAATTCAGCCAGTATCTTTCACATTACCTGTAATAAAATTCTAAAAAGCCTTCACTTTAAATAGGGAAATATTCTTTAAAATTGATTTAGGTGATGAAAAGGTATGAGAATTGTATGGTATGAGAATTGTATCTTAATAAAATATATTCTCTAAAGGAGATGGGAGAAGTTAATGTTTCAGTTATGTCTTCCTATTGCTAACCCAAATTTAAACTGCACCTTAGCTTCAAGTCTCTGCAAACCCAATGAGTCCAGTTCAGAGTAGATAACCGGATTCCATTTTACAGTATTTCAACTTTTAAAAAAAAAATTAATTATTGATCTCTTTTCTTCAGCTGCTTCACTGCCTCCTCATTAGCACCTCCAATAGGATAAACCAAAAGATGAGACAGTTGAATTCTTTTCCCCCACAAAAGTAAGGTTTGGTGGAGGCAAAGCACCAAATGTACCACCTAAAATATGGCCTCAAGATCAACTGTGGGTTTCACAAATCCATGCAATTCTTTAGGAACTGCAGCACTAAACAGGGAATGTTTTTCAGGTTTGAAAAAAGACAATGGTTTCTGATTCTCCCGACGCTTAACATTCTAAGAAAAGATGGCTCATTCTTTAAGGCTTTTTCCCCTTTATTGGGACAATAGATAACTGGCATACAGATTTTATTCTCAGCTATACTGAGGGTGAAACAGCTTCACCTACAGATTTACCTTCAAATCTAGCGTCTGAGAAACAAACTATCGCCCAGGAATCAGATCCTTGAATGAAGCCGAATTCTTTTTCCGAAAGGGTGTTTTCTTCGTGACAAATACCCCAACCCCTTCATCAGTGTCACAGCCTGTACAATGAGCTTTCCTTGTTCAGTTGGGCTCCGGTGTGAGTTCCACACGCGGCAAACTGTTCGTCGAGTCGCGCCTGGGAAACATAACCGACCCGCAGAGGGCCACAGGGAAGCGTCTCCCCGCGAGGACGCGGCCCGCCAGTGTCTGGTTTCTCATTTTGAATCCCGAGTAGGAAGTGAGACGGCGCCCGCTCAGTTCCGGGAGCCGCGGCGTCCGCGGCGCCGTCCGGAACCGGCCTGGGCCGCGGCGGCCCCCGAGCAACAAGTGACCCGCGCGCGCCTCGGTCCCCGCGCCCCGGGCCCCCGGCGCCCCTGCCCCGACGACTTACGATTTCCGAGCGGCCGTCGCGGCAGGCGTTCTGGAAGCGCGCCTGGCGCTCCTCGTGCGGCCGGTCCCTGAAGCCCGTGTACTTAATCTGCAAGGCAGAGACGACCCGAAATCAGGAGCCAAATCCGCGAAGCCGCCTGCGCGCCCGCCCGCCCCGCGCGGCGCAGATAAGGGCAAGCAGAGTGTGCGGGCAGGCGGCTGCCCGGGCGAGATTGCCCCTCCGCGGGCGCGCCACCCAAACTTTTCTCTGCCCGGGCCCACTCGGGGCGCGCCGCGGCCTCCGCGCCGCCTGCTTGCCTCACCTCGCATTCGCGGCTCAGCTTCCTGAAGAACTCCTCGTTCTCGAACTTGCTTCTCTGGTCAGGCACGACGCGCGGCATCTTCCCGCCCTGAGGCCGTGCCGGCCGGCCGGTCTCGGGGCTTGCGCGGCACCCGCTGGCCGGCTCCGCGCTGACCGACTGACCGCCCACCCGCGGCGCCCTGACTCTCGTTTCCCTTTGTTTCAGGCGCCCGCCCGCGTGGGCTCCAGCTCCCGGGAGTATGAGGTGCCACCGCCCGCTCGAGCCTAGCCCACGCCGTAGCCGTCGCCTTAGCCGTTGCCTACCGCCCGCGCGGACCCAGCACTCGCCGCCCCCGGCCGCCGCCGCCACTTCCTCTCGCCGCCCACCTCGCAAGACCGCCCGTCCGCCCCGCCCCGGTCGGCCCCACCCCTCCTCCTCGCGCGCCCGCCCGCCCCAAACTCCGGCAAACAAAACGCACCATTCACAACTCTGCGACCCGAGCCGCGCATGCGCCGCCCACCCGCTTGCGGGGCGGCTTGACTGCAGCGAGCCAGAGCTTTGCCAGAGGTGCGGCCCTCACACTCCTGCCCGCCCGCGGGCTCCTCTGTGTGGAACTGCTCTGCGGGCAGCTGCCTGGACCTTGGAGAGAGGGAGCGTTTCACGCGGTTCCTTTCTGTCGACGGTTTGGAACTTTGGGGCTCCTCACCTGCTTGGAGTGACCCCAGATTATCACCTGAACTTGAGTGAGGAAACTTAAGTCCTTGCGGACTTGATGTCCGAAAACCGACGGGGAGGGGTGTAGGCTATGCCTGTCAAAGTCTAAAGGTGGAAACAAAGGAAGCAATCCAACTGAATCTGCATCATGGTGGAAAGGTCTGAGCTGATGGGAGTCAGGCCTTAGCTGAGATCTCACTCCACTGCTTACACAGGCCTTACACAAGCCCTGGACGCTAAGCCTCATTTTGCCTACTCGCAAAATGCAGACACTCACATGCTCTCAGTTTTGGTGTTGAGAGTCTTTATGTAGGTCTAACATATAATGAGCACTCAGTAAATTTAAGTTTCTAACGAAGAAAAGTTGAATTATCTGTATAACATAAAGCCCATCCATATATTTACCCAAATGTACAATCAAACCCTAAAAAAGATTGGCAAGTTATTTAGCCCAAACTGGAGAGAGTCTAACATGGGATTCATGGCAGAGCTTGACTCAAAGTTGGTCCTCAATAAATTCGGATCCTTAAAATTCCAGCTAGACAATAACTTACTACAAAGATGGCAAATACAGGACACTGGGGCGAGTCGGTCAGTTAAGCATCTGACTCTCGATTTCTGCTTAGGTTATGATCTTACAGTTGGTGAGTTTGGGCTTCAAGTTGTCAGCCTGGAACCTGCTTGGGATTCTCTCTCTCTCAAAATAAATAAACTTAAAAAAAAAAAAAGATGACAAATAGGTGCCAACTCTGATTGATAGTAGCCGGCCATATTGTAAAGTTAGAGACTTGAAAGATTAAGTGTTGAGGGCAATTGCCAGTGTAGGCCTGAATGCAGGGTGGGCAGACTTTCCTAACCCCACCTAGTTCAATCTGTTTTACAGATATGGAAGTGAGCTAGAGTAACCACTGTCCAGCTTTTCCAGACACAATCCTGGTTTTTATGATGAAAGTTCCGTGTCCTAAGAAACCACTCAGTCCCTGGCAAACTGGGATGGTAGGTCAACCTAACTGAGGTCCAGAGATTGATCAATTTCCCAAGGTCAGGGAGCGAGTTTTCGGTAGAGTCGAACCTGTAGGTTAGTGGTTTTAACATTTTCTGAATAGCAAACATAGAGTCAGATCTCCAAGGCCATTCACAAACCTGTGTGAATATGAGTGTGCACAAATAGAAAGGGTATAGATACAGCTGGGCTTCCTTCTACCGTTGAGCCTCTATCTATCTCAGACTCTTCCCTCAGGTCTCTTGCAATTGCAAGTGACAGAAACCCAATTCAAGCAAACTTAAAAGTACAAAGGGGTCATTTTATTTTAAGTAAATAAATCACAGAGAGGGAGAGATAGTCTCTTTTTCTTTTCCATTTCTCCATTTCCTGTTACTGTTTAACTTTCCCATCCTCTCTTCAACGACATTCATTTCCCGGCAAAGGATGGGAGCAGCTACTTCTCAATTTCTAAGTCATAAAATTTCTGGGAAGGACTTTGATTGCCCCAGTCTGGGTCACATACTCTCCCCTCTACCAAATCACCATGTCCAGGTTGATATGATGACATTGGTCATCTTATGTCACAGGCTTTCCCATCAGGACTATTAGAGGCCTGAAATGGGCAGCTTCAGGGAGAACCTGAATGAGTTGAAAGGGTAGAACAGTTTCTCCTAAAGGATGGAGTAAGAGTGCATTGTGGGCCTACTCAGCAGTTTGTATCAGCTACCACTGGCAAAAGATGACATTTTTTAAAATGTTTATTTATTTTGAGAGAGAGAAAATGAGCACGAGCTGGGGAAGGGCAGAGACAGAGGGAGAAAGAGAACCCCAAGCAGCCTCCTTGCCGGCAGTGCAGAGCCTGACTCGGGCTCAGTCTCACAAACCATGAGATCGTGACCTGAGCTGAAATCAAGAGTCAGAGGCTTAACCAACAAAGCCACCCAGGTGCCCCAAGGATGCCATTTTTATTTTGCTGCCTAAAGGTTCTGGTGGAACTGGACGGGGAGCTCCAAAACATCATAGGTAAAGTATAGCCGAAACCAGCCATAAAACATCTGCAATTTATGTTGAGAGGTGGGTGAGGCAGCATCCACTCCAAGGGACCAAGGTATAACTAAGCTACAAGGAACAGAAGCTTTCATCCATCTGCTGCCTCCACTTTAAGTCTTCCCAGTCCAGCAAAGACCTTTGGACACTAGGACAATGCAGCCATTGTCTAAATGAGAGGAAAATGATAACTTTGCTCCCAGTTAACAGGACTGTCTGAAGGCCAGTGGTTGGGAGCAGAGTTTTTGGTGTTAGCCTCTACGGTAGGAAAAGAGTATATCCCATGTCACACCATTCAGCGCCATCATAGTCATTTAGGTATACATTACTATAAAACTTTCCATTTCTGTCTCTAAAGAATGACCCACAAGGCCGCACTCTTACTCCACAATGGGTCCAGGTAGGGCTCATAGACCTACAGCTGATCTTGGCAGAGAGGATCTTGGCAGAGCAGGACTGAGTGTACAAATTGTCAGCCTCATGGGGGTGGGAAATGGTGTCCTGAGGGAAAGGGATGAGAAAGCCGGCTAGGCACATCCAGAACAGCAGCACCACAGACAGACTTTGGCAACTCCAGGCCACAGGATAACCCACTCGGCATTGTCTGGCGTCCAACTAGCCAGGACGACTGGGAAACAAGCCGCAGGCTGAAGGAGGCATCTCCTCAGCTGACCTCTGTATGCCTTTTTCTGTTGTGAAACTTTTTTTCACTTATTTAAAAAAGTTACATTAAAGGAAATTAATATAAGAAAATTTCACCCATGTCAGGTATATTTAACTCTGTGTTTCTGTCCAGCTGGGTATGGATTGGTCCAGATACCACCACATGGAGGCATTTGCTAAGAGCCAGCTCTTATAGAGTCCAACTATGGACTGTGTATATCTGTTCTTTGCCTAGAAACATCCTTGCCACTCCCCAAACCTGGCTGAATTCTCTCTGAAGCCCTGCTGCTGGGAGCCTTCCTTTCCTAAGGATTCAGCCAGCCCAGGGCCTCTTCTTCCTTATCTTCCTGGAGCAGATGCTTCTACAGGACTCCCTGACCAATCTTTTTTTTTTTAATTTTTTTTTTTATTGTTTTATTTCTGAGAGACAGAGAGACAGCATGAGCAGGGGTGGGTCAGAGAGACAGGGAGACACAGAATCTGAAACAGGCTCCAGGCTCTGAGCTGGCAGTCAGCACAGAGCCCAATGCGGGGCTCAAACCCACGAACCGTGAGATCATGACCTGAGCCGAAGTCGGATGCTTAACCGACTGAGCCACCCAGGCGCCCCTCCCTGACCAATCTTGAATGGGTGGACAGAGAATAGAAACACGGAGCAGGGGACGGGAACCCTCAATTGTTCAACCCAACTGCGAAGCTGTGAGCTGGGTGTTTTTATGTCCCTTATCTCAGTTAATTCCTAGCACCACTTTCCAAGACAAGGCTTCTTGTCCCAATCTGACAGATGAGGAAATAGAAAGTCTTAAATGTCAGTAAGTGACCACAGGACAGTGACAAGACCTTGACCCATCAGAGATAACAAAACGGCATTGGGGTATATTATCTTCATTTACTCCTTACTATAACCCTGCAAATTTGGTATTATTGACTCTATTCTAAAGATGAAGAAACTGAGGCACAGGGGGGCTGGCAATCCCAGGGCTGTGCTCTTAACTATTCCAGCCTAAAGCATCTGCTGGTGAAGATGCCCAAGGTCCTGCTTGTCTCTCTAGCTGAACTGTGAGCTCACGCAGAGTTGCAGCCGGGGCCCTTCCTCCTGAAGCACCCTGCCATGCTCCCAAAGGGTCCCCAAGAGGTTGAATGAAGGAATCCTACTGTGGGCCTTGTGGCAGAATCAGTTCCCTGCCCTTGATAGTTTTGCATTCCTGCCCCTTAAGCCCAATTGTTTGTCTATCCTTGGCTTGGAAGGTCAAGTCCTAGACATCCTGTCTCCCTTAGTCCAGCAGAAAGAATGGCTTTATCTAGTTCTGGTGTCAGCAGCTCCCCATATCTGCCTCTTCTCATAGAGAGGGTGGGGGCTTCCCAGGCCCCTGAGCCTGTAGTGTATATTTTCTAAGGAAACAGTTTCCCTACAGTTACTGAGGAAATATTGTGCCATCTTGAAATTGAAATAGGATCTGGAGTCACAAAAGATGGGGGTCTTGATGGGGGTGGGAAAGGAAGGAAATTAATCGTTGGCACAGCTCCTAAATCCCCAGCTCTATCTAGCATCTAGTCTGGGGATGGAGATGTGCCTAAGTCCTGGATGAGGGTGTCATCTGCCTAATTGAGGCAGTTTTCTGGGCCCTAAAGAATTCTTTTTTGAGATATAATTTAAATACACCATAAAACTCATCCCTAGGTCCTTAAGAATTTCCCCTCCCAGGAGGTTCTTCCCCTTCTTAGCTCCCCTGCCACCCTCCCCCACCAGCTCAGCCATCCCGCAAGGAGAGGAAAACTGAGAGGAGCAAGTTTCCCCAGAATAGCATTTCTTCAGTGTTGGGATCAATAAACCCGTTTGCTTAAAAGGAACCAGATGATTTCATCCTTGTAATTACAAGTTTGACGTTTGCAAATCTTGCCCAGGCTCCAAATGAGCCTCTTTGTCATGGGAGGTGGAGGGGTTTGTCTGGGTGCCTGAGGATGGGGACCGAGCCTCGTGTACTGGGAAGAGGGCCAGGCTGGGGTCAGGAGGCCTAGCTGACCAGTCTTCGAGGGCAGTTTGGGACTGCTCCCTTTCTCCTGCCCTGCTCTCCAAGTTTCTGGCGGGTGATGGGAAACAGACGAGACTAGGGGACTAGAGAATGGCAGTGGTGAGCTCTAACCGCACCGCCCCTCCCCCGTGCCCCTCCCCCAAGTCTCTGATTTGCCTATGGCAGAAAGGCAAGCGCTGTCAGCCCAGCATTCATGACTCCTTTCCTTTCCAATCCCATCTCCCATCATTTCTCCCTGTAGTATGCAGCAATCCAGCCATACTGACCTGGTTACATTTCCCACATGCCTCAGTGCCTTTGCTCTAACTGTATGTACCCTCTATCTAGCATGACTTCCTCCCCTTTCTCTGCTGCAATAACTCATACTTTTTCGTTAAATATAAATTCAGGGGCCTTTGACTAGCCTCCATAGACCATTCCACAGTGTCCCTCACTCTATCATCTGGGCCATACAATGCATCAGGAAGATGGCCAGTACACCAGTATCCTAAGAGGATTTGGCTCCCCACTAATTGGTGTTCATTTTACTACTGTGCAGCCTTCATATGAGTGTCTTTTGCTCCACCCTTACATTTTAAAAAATTATTTAAAATTTGTGCATATTTTTTGTAGAAAACTGAGGAAATATAGGAATATAGGAAAAGAAAGTAGTCTTACCACCTCAAAACAATAATTTAATTATAATTAAATATACAGTGGGGTGCCGAGTGGCTCAGTCAGTTAAGTATCCAACTTTGGCTCAGGTCATCATCTTGTGGTTCACAAGTTCGAGCCCTGCATTGAGCTCTGTGCTGACAGCTGAGAGCCTGGAGCCTGCTTCAGATTCTGTGTCTCCCTCTCTCTCTGCCCCTCCCCTGCTCCTGCTCTCTCACTCAAAAAATTTTTTTTTAATTTTTAAAAAGTAATTAAATATACATTTAAGTATATTTTCTTTGGCCTTTCTCCAGCTACGTTTCTTAACATAACTATACTGTTGTTGTGGTGGTGGTGGTTTTAGTTTATTTATTTATTCTGAGAGTGAGATAGAGACTGTGAGCATGGGAGGGGCAAAGAGAAAGGGAAAGAGAGAATCAGTGTGGAGCCCAACTCGGGGTTTGATCTCATGACAAGATCAGAACCTGAGCCGTTATCAAGAGTCAGACACTTAACCAACCAACTGAGCCACCCAGGCACCCTGCACATAGTTATGATGTTCTATGGTACAGTTTTGAATGCTCTTTATTACCTAACCTATGGAATAAGTATTTTCCCATGTAAGTATATAAAACTAATGGCATCCTGGCTGATCTCTTATTGTTGGGCATTTATTCAGGTTGTTTCCCATTATCCACGGTTATAAAATAGGCTTCTGTGAGCATCATAGTACTTAAGGATTTTTCTTAATGTTTTCGATAGCGTTTTTAGGGTCAGCTTCCAGAAGCAGAACCACTATGTCAAAGGTATGGGCATTTTAAGGTTCCTGATATATGTTGTTAGCCAGATTTCTCTTTGGCACCGCCTCTTCTCTCTTCTTAAGTCTTAAAAATCCTTCCTCCCCCCATTTCTCTTCTCAGTGTCTCAGACACAGGAAATGCCAACCAAGAATAAACCAAGACCTGCAGATAGAGATCAATGGATCAATAAAGGAGGTTGAATAATTCAACATTCACTTCTGGCTCATTATCGACTCTTGAATCCAAATGCATCCTCTTACCTTCTCTCCTTTTTGTCTCCATGTTGATGATGCCTCGATACCACGTGCTGTTCTTGGGTTCTTTCCCAAATTTCCCAAGCTCTAAACCATCCTGACAGTCAGGGTTTCCCATCATGCTGTAATATTGTCTTGCAAGTAGGCGAACAGAATTACTAGCCCCCAGCCTCTCCACCAGCCTGTCTTCCCTCTAGGAACACAAAAGGAGCAATTAATAAAGCAGACAATAATTCTCTTCTTCTAGATGACACTTCTGAGTAAATGGGCAAGGAGTTCAACTTCAGACTGTTCTAGCCCTGGTTAACTTCCTGTGTTTAGCTTGCTTCTTTCCCCATTCTTAGCTAGGCAAATTCATACTCTTTCATTAAACATGGGCTCAGAGGCCTCTGAAAACTGCTGGGAGAATGACTGCTCCACACGATGCCTGACCTGGAGACCAGACCCAGCTTCCTCACAGTTGGTAGCTTCCCTAGCCTACCTGATCCTAGGGAAGCTTGCTCCTTCTGCCCCAGGGGAGCTCCCAGGATGCCTTGCAGCTTCAGTAGCCTTGGTGATTGAGATGGACATAGAGATGAGCTTCTTCAGAGAAGGACTTGTTACCCAGCAGCTGGGATTGATCTCAGCCCTTTCCAGGATTCCCTGAAGTATAAAAAGCTACCTGCAAGTCTTCCTTTCTGGGCAGCTTACATCCCATGACTGGCGATGGGAGGAGTGCCTGGGTGGCTCAGTCAGTTAAACGTCTGACTTGACTTCAGCTCAGGTCATGATCCCTGGGTCATGGGATTAAGTCCCGGGTGGGCATCTGTACTGACAATGTGGAGCCTACTTGGAGTTCTCTCTTTCTCTTCTACTCCTTCCCACCTCAAAATAAATAAACTTTAACAAACAAACAAACAGCAACAACAACAGAACAATGACTGGTGATGGCAGTATAAAGGCCCAACAGAGCAATGCTGGCGGGCCACATGAGCTCCAAGGCTCCCTGTGGAGTCACTAGAAGCTGTTGTTGGGCTGCAGTGTAGCTTGACTTCTCCCTCTACTCAATTCTGTTTTTTTCTCCTCCCATCAACACATTTTGTTTTTTTATAATTATTTAATTAATTATTTTTGAGAGGGGAGGGGCAGAAGGAGAGGAGAGAGATAATCTTTTTTTTTTTAATGTTAATTTATTTTGAGAGAGAGAGAGACAGAGGATCTGAAGTAGGCTCCAAGCTGCCAGCACAGAGCGCAATGTGGGGCTTGAATTCACGAACCATGAGATCATTACCTAAGCCAAAGTTGGATGCTTAACTGACTGAGCCTCCCAGGTGCTCCATTAAGTTTTATTTTAAAAAGTTGTTTTAAAAGTTGTTTCGGAAGAGACATGAGCCATTTTGGGACAACAATGGCTATCTGGTATGACTTGAGATCTCTCATTTGTAAAATATGAACAGTATATAACATTTGCTTTAGTAAAAGTAATTTTCCACTCACTGGACTCTCCCAAGTGCCTTCAAGGTAAGGAGAGAAGGAATTAATGTCTTATTTTGCAGCTCAGAAAATTGGGACTCAGAACAAGTGACTATCTCATTTAAGAGTGAATGGCTAGAAGGATCCAGAGAGAAAAATCCCAAAAGAGCAAAGTTGTCCTGAAGTTGAAGAAATTCAATCCATTTATTCTTTGTTAGAGCAACCTGATGTTGGAGGGTTTTAGTGACTTGTCAAAGATCCCAGAGCTAGGTGGTTCCTTGGTTGTTGTTTTTTTTTAATTAGAGAGAGAGAGGGAGAGAGAAAGAAAGAGAGAGAGAGTCTTAAGTAGGCTCCATGCTAAGCACAGAGCTTGACTCGGGTCTGATCCCATAACTCTGGGATCATGACATGAGCTGAAATCGAGAGTCAGGTGCTTAACCAACTGAGCCACCAGGCGCTCCACTCAGTTTTTTAACCTATAAATTGAGGGCAAAGACATCTACTTGTATCTGTCAGGACTGTTTTGGTTTCAAGTAATAGATGCCCAATTAAAATTGGCTCACACACACAAAAGGAAAGTATTAGCTCATTTCACTGAAAACTCTGGGTGTATATGTGATTCTAGGCATGGTTGGATCCAGGTATTCAAGCACTGACCCCAGAAATCTCTCTCTCTCTCTCTCTCTCTCTCTCTCTGTCTCTTGGTTCTGTTTTTCTGTTTTAGCTTCATTCACATGCTGACTTACCCCCCTAGGGGTGAGAACTGCTCTTTCCTGATATTCCAACAAAAATCTTGGGTTGGCTTTAATAGGCCATGTTTAGGTTACCTGTTCATTCCTGAACTTTGGACACTGAATTGCTGTCAAGAGGGTAATATAGCAGGAAAAGGAATGGATGTATTGGACAGGCAAAAACACCAGACGGTACTTTGGTTAGTGTCTGGCACAAAGTTACAAGCTCTCAAAGAATGGCGGCTCTGACTATCTTAAACGTCCCATCCGGCTCTGAAATTCTAGGATTTTTACAACTCTGTAGTTTGATACAAATCCAACTATAAATGTTGGCAGTCAAGGGATGCCCTGGATAACAATTTGAGTTCATACAAGGTCCGCTCAAAATACCATAAAATGAGCTGAGAAGGGGCTGGAAAAGGAAGCTGGCAGAGCAAGGCTGGGGCATGCGTGCTCTTCTATAGCAGAGGTAACTGCCTGTGGCTTGCTTTCCTTTGTAGTGAGTCAGGGAAGGTGGCAATGACAGAATCAGTGTGGGGCCCTGGAAGGGATTCCCTGAGGCGCTGAGGGCTGCGAACTCAAAGGATTCTGTTTCTTTTAACATCAAATGACTTAGCAAGACCACCTCTGGTAGCCAAACACAGCCTTGGATGGGCTGGGGGGAGTCCACTGGGCTCCAAAGACTGCCCCATGTGAATGCTTTGGTTAGGTGGTGACCAAGCAATCGCCCAATTAGAGCCTTCTCTGAGGCATGTGTGGTGTAAGCGGGTGTAGGCTCTCATTCACACTGTAAACCAGGTAAGTGGTGCCCCCTGGAGGTGCATGCTGCAATAGCTCTTTTGTCAGCCAGACCTGGGAAATGTGGGATGGAGGTCTGTACCACCCAGTGCAATGGGCTCCTTGCTGTTTTCCCTGTTTCTCACATTAGATTTCCATTACCAAGAGTTGTTTGGGTGTGTTTGCATCCTCAATTTTTGAAAAAAGTATTCTTTTCCAGATGTGCTGAGTATTGTAGATGAATTGGTCACCTAGAAGCCAGGCAGACAGGATTTCTCCTGGCAGGGAGGATCAGATAGGCCAAATGAATATCTGAGGTCACACAGCAGAGGGAACAGTTGTAATAAAACTCAAGATCCCTGCCCACCGGTGGCCTTTCCTTGCACTGAACTCCAGAATTCCATGTTTCAGAAGTAACAAATTGATGATAGTGCTCCTGAGAAGCCCAGCAACAAAACCAGAGTTTTAGTGTCTTGGATTTGGAGTCTCTGGAAGGCCCTGGAAGATATCAGTCTGTCCTCCAGGCCAGAAGAGCTGCTTCTTAGTTAAGAGACATGAATCAGCCACAGACGCCTTTCCCAGCTTTTGGTGAATTTTTCTGCCACTGGTGCTAATTTTCTGAAAAGCTTTTCTTCCACATTCAGGCCCACCTCAAAAGTGTTCTTGCTCCCTAACAGTAGGAAATTCATATGTTGCTCCCTAACGGTAGGAAATTCATGATGATCCCCCCGTGGCTCCTTGTTGAGGTCACCATCTTGCTCTTCACCAATGTCTGTGGCTCAAAGAGCTGGGAGTGGACGAATCCTGGCTGGAGGGGACTGGGGTTGGAGTAGTGTCCTACTGGGATTGTTCCCAGATGCACAGATGAGGAGAAGAGGCCCAGAAAGGCAAGTGCCTTGCCTGAGGACACACACAGAAAAATAGGCCCAGACAGGAATGTCCAGCTTCCCAATTCAGCCTAAAAGAGGCATGCTGAGCTCTGTTCTGTGAGACCATTTGATCTTGAGTTCTTTCAGGGTTTAAATGGGTCTTCCTCCCCTTCCATTTTTCCCCACAGATCAATAGGCCCAAACCCAACTCCTTGTGGGCATGGAGTTATTGTGACTTTAGACAGTCAGTGGTAGGAGGCTAGAGTCCTGTCTGGATTAGGTTTCCATGGAGGGAAGGGAGAGAGAAGGGGCTTCCCCAGCAACACTAGGCCCTGCATGTGTCCCCATCCTGGACAGGACTCCCCTTTGGGACTTTTTCTGGATCCAGTAGGTAGGGGCTGAGGTCTCCCAGGCCCTGAGGGGGGGTGATGAATTCCCAGGGTGGGTTGGGTGGGAGAGCTCTCAGTCAGAGTGCCCTAGGGGCCATCTGGTAGGTGGGGAAGGGGAAGGGTCAGAGCTGGACTCCTGCTTTTGTCCAAAGCTTCTTGCAACAACAAGACATGTAGGAGTCTCTCAACTTCTACCTCCTCTTCCCTCATCTGTCACCAAGTCCTGTCCATCTGCTTTAAGAGCTTGCTTGCTCTCTTCCATGAAGGACACATCGTCTAGTTTTGCATTGCCCTGACCTGGTATCCCCACTTCTATCTCTCTTCTCTTAGTTCTTCTGTATTCTGTAATCTCAAAGATCCTTCTGGAGGATAAGTCTAACCTCCCATAAGACATGTCCCTCCCATGGCTTCCCCAGTGCCTCAAGGTAGATTCCGTGCTCTCTCCCAGGCTTATGAGCCTGGTGTTCCAGCTCTGGGAGCTGCTTCCCCTCTTAGCCTTCCTGCGTGGGCCACACTGACACAGAGCTGCTAGGATGGAACAGGGTAATTCCTATCTCCAGGCCTTTGCTGCTGCTGTGCCTTCTGGCTGACATAGCTTCCCCTCCTTCTCTTCCTCCATAACCTCCACTCCTTCCTGCTGGTCTTTTCAGATGCTCCCCCAGAAGACTTCTCTGACTCACCACCTCACCCAAGTTAGGTCAGCATATCTACTGTGCTCTCGCCTTTCCAGCTGACCCTTTGTATCATCACCCCAAGGTCTCTGGCCAGGCAACTGGGATGAGAAACAAATCCCTGCTTACTGCATCTTCTGAAGATGCAGGTCTTCTCTCTTCCAGCCTGAACAGCCTCAGCACTGCCTTGGCTTTCTGTCCATTTGCCTGTCTGGGTATGTGTCCACCTGCTTCTGTTTCTTACCCTCTACCCCTTGCCTTTCTTGGCAGATTGTTCCACTGTCTCTTTCATCTGCTTCTGTTCCTTTCCTCGTGCTTTAATATACTTTTTTTTTTATTTCTAGGAGAGAGAGAGAGAGAGAGACAGCGTGAGCAGGGGAGGGTAAGAGAGAGAGGGAGTCACAGACTGAAACAGGCTCCAGGCTCTGAGCTGGCAGTCAGCACAGAGCCTGACGCGGGGCTCGAACCCACGAACCGCGAGATCCGAGATCATGACCTAAGCGAAAGTCGGACACTTAACCGACTAAGCCACCCAGGCGCCCCTACTTGTGCTTTAATATATTTCTATCTCAGTTCTTGAAGGACTCAAGGTGGTGTCTCTGTCGCTGCATCCCTTCCTCACTCAATCCCCATACCCTAGTTTCTTGCAGGCACTCTCTCTCCACACAGTTAATGAATTTGGGATATGGAAGGAGAGTTCGGAAGGAGAGTTTTGACAACCTTAGAAGAGTGACATCTTCTTCCCAGGAAATCTGGCCCTTCAGGGCACACAGAAGGTCTCCAGCCCCTTCCTACTAAGGCCAGACATGGGAGAAGTGGGAGCAGAGGACACAGTAAAGGCCACTCTGAAATCCATGCCACTGCACCCAGCACTGGTCAGGGGCCTCAGCACCTCTAACCCAGCCCCTTGTGGCACTAATGGGGAAAACAGAACTGTGTGGCAGACCTCTTTGGTCAACCCTATTTGTGAAACTTCTTCCTGAACCCTTCCCCAACTGCTTCTTCTCTTCTAGAAACTTCAGCCTCATGTAGCGTGTCTTGGGCATAGGCTTACCTTGTCCTTCAGGACAGGGCTCTAGCATGTTCAGCTTGGGCTGGAAAGGGGTCATTGGAGGAGAAGCCTTGAACTGGTGGCATCTGACCTCACTGCTTTTCTTCCAGTCCTTTTTTCCTTCACCTGATGCCTCTCCGAACCTCAGAGCTTCTACTAGCTTGAGGTTCTGGCTAGGCCTCTGGAGTGTCTCTCCTGGCAGCCTGTGGGCTTCTGGAAGGCAAGATTGATCCCTCCTGGGTCTCTCAGAGCCCACAGGTGGTCAGTCAGGCTGTGCACGGTGGGGACCCAGGAGAGGAAGCCCATGATTCATTCATTGGTGATGAGCCTGTGGCCTCGCCCTGCTCACCCAAACTCCTGCCCACTTCCCTGCCGCGGGGGCACCAGCCAGCAGAGGCTTCCATGGCTACTAGCAGGAAAATGCTCTGGGGGCAACCAGCCTACGCGGGGCCTTGGAGAGAGCGAAGCCAGGGGGACCATGAGACCGCAAGGGGCTTGGACTGAGACCGCCCCTACCCAGAGAGCTTATGTCGCCTGCCTGAGACTGGGATCGCTTGGCCTCGTCGCGCCTCCTGCCGCGCGCCCGCCAGGCGACTGCGGGCGACTGCTGGCTGGTGCCTGGGCACGGGCGGTCAGGGGTGTAGGAGCCCTCACTGGGGGGGAGGCCCGGTTCCCCTCTCCCCCACCCCCAGTCAGCTCCCGGCGCCCTCGCGTCCGCCAGGGCCCTGGCCCCGCGCCAGGCGACTGGATCCTTCACTGCCGCTGGCGGGAGGCCGGACGGCGCGTCCCCAGGGACTCCCAGGGCCGCTGGCGCTGTCTGACGGGCGAGGGCGGCGGCGGCGGTGCTGCGGAGGCTGCGGTCAGCTCGGGCACCACGGCGCGCCGCGTCTCCCGCACTAATTGGCCCTGAGCCTCCTTGGTAGTAATTGCTGCTTCGCGGGGTGGGGGCAGGCGGGGTGTTGGAGGGAAAGAAGGGGCGCCCCTTCCAGAGCTGGGAGGCAGGCTCAGCCGGAGCTGAGCTGTGGAGCAGGCAGGAGACGCGTGCCCTCGCCGTTCCTGCTCTACAGCTGGCTTTGTACCGGTGCGCCTTCGTCCTCTGGGCGGCCCTGGCACGCAGCGATAAACCCAGGGAAAAGTCACTTAAGGGTCCTGGGGCCTTCACCAAGATCCATTCAGTTCTGTGAACTGCTCCCTGAGGAGTGGAGCACCGTGGAGACTGGCAGGGACTTTAGGAACGACTTTGGGTGGCCGTCGGAGACTTCGGTGCAGCCAGGACGCCAAGGTGGAGACAGAGCAGTAGGTAGCCCTGCCCACCTCCCTCCTCCCGCAGGAAGACCACAGGGTGGGTGTGAGACAGGGGCTGTGGGAGGCAGGGGGCCAGTCCACTATCCAGGCAGCCCACTGGAATCCCTCCAGAATCGAATTCTGAGAGAAGGTCCTAGGGTTTCCCTGGGAGTCGTTTATGATCCTGGCATCTGCTGTGGTCTGGTGGGGCCCTGACTGAGAGAGAGTCTGAGGAGACAACTGAGGGACCCTCAGAAGCAGGCCTGGACTGACCTGCAGTCAGACCTTTGGACCTCCAGCTCAGGGTATCCTGTAGGCACTGGAAGGAATCAAGCCCAGCTGGTCCCTGCTGAGTTCTACACAGGTTGCCCAGGATCACTTTCCAAGGGGGCTGAGCTCCCAGCCCTCACTCAGGGTCCCACTGAACTGCTATTTGGTTGAGTATGCCCTGGTTAGAGGGGGGCAGGGATGTTCTTCCGGTTATGGCTCCTGGAGAGTGGAGCTGTCACACGCCTCCTCTGGGGCCATCCTCTCTCAGGGATTGTTCCAGGTCTGGATGGAGGTGGCAGGGCGAGTCAGACAGGCCTGTATCAAATTCCCACTCTTCCACAACTAGGTCATGACCTTGAGCAAGGCCTTTTATGTCTTGTGTCTCAGTTTCCTCATCTATAAAATAGGGGTAATAGAATCCACAACAGGGTAGTTGGGAAGATAAATTTTTGCTCGAAAGGGGCTTTGTCTCCCTCTTCTAACCATCCCTTTGTGTTTTGGGCTTAGATGCTGGAGGACTGGGTGCCCCTCACCCCACAGGTCTCTGCAGCTTCTTGTTGTCTCAGAGCCTCAGGTACCCTTAGGAACAGAGTCTAATCAACATTGTAGTTTGGGACATAAAACCTATGGGATGCCAGCTACACTATTGTTCATAGCAGTTATTTACAATACCCAAAAGGTAGAAACAACCGAAATGTCCATCAACAGATAAGCGGATAAACAAAATATGTTATGTACATACAATGAATGGAATATTATTCAGTCTTAAAAAGGCATGAAATTCTGATACATGCTACAACATGAATGAATTCTGAAGACATTGTGCTAAGGGAAATAAGCCAGATACAAAAGGACAAATACTGTATGACTCCACTTCTCTAAGGTACCTGGGACAGTCAAATTCATAGGGTATGAAGTAGAATAGTGGGTACCAGAGTTTAGAGATGAGAGGAAATAGGGAGTTATTTAGTGGATGCAGGGTTTTGGTTTGGGATGATTAAAACGTTCTGGAGATGGATGGTAGTGACGGTTACATAACAACATGAATGTACTTAATGCCATTGAACTGGGTGTTTAAATATGGCTGACGTGGTAAATATTATGTTACGTATATTTTACCACCAAAAAACCAACAGCAAACTGAATCGAACCAAAAAAACCTGTGAGACAGGCTGGAGTATGCCCAGGTCGAGTTGCAGGAAAGGCCAGAGTGAGGAGTCTGGATGTAGCACAGCAGGCTGGGCCCAACAAGGAACAGGCAGCAATGCACCCTTCTTCTGATGGCTCAAATCAAGATGTCATTTGCTTCACTCAAGCATTTTACAGATGGAGAAACCAGGTCAAGTCAATCTGCTTTTATTTAGGACAATCTCTGTGTCCAGGCACTGGAGGGGTTGCAGGGGAGGTAAGTATGGAAGGAGGAGAATATCCTAAGCTATCAAACCTTCACTCCACATAACAAATAACCTGACCAAGGCCTCAGGCCAGTGTAATGTGAACAGGCTGAGCAGGATGAATGGTCAACGACAAGCTGGGTGCAATGATAGGGACAGTGGCAGTCTGGGTGGATTTCCCCAAAGAAATCCAAAGAAGGGGCTTTAAGTAGACCTTTGAAGGGTGGGAGGATTTGGAGAAGGAAGAGTTGGGCTTGTCCTGAGGCTGAGTGGCTGGGCACAGTGTAGCAGTAATAGAATCTGGCCTAACTTGCTAGAATCAGTGACACAGGAGGTATCATGGATGTCAGGCTGAAGAGGGTAGTGCAGGGCCCCAAACTGGCTAAGTAAGGCTCTAGCTCTGGCCTGAGGGAGCCTCTGCAGGTCCTACATTGGGGAAGGCAGGACACCTGTTCCAGATGTGTCCATGGCCAGTCTCCCCAAAGCTTAGGTGGTGGGGCAATATCTTACACTTCCTCCTGCACAGCCACTCTCAGAAATGCCTCTGCTTTTCAGGTCCTTAATGCTGGTACAGTCTCATCCAAAAGGCCATCTTCTCTTCCTTGAGCTTCACGCCCACCCTTGTGATGAAATCCATGTGTAGATACTACTCCTCCTTGTTACAGCATGGCCAGTGAGGCAGCTTCCCACCATCGGGGTTTTTGCCCAGAAGGAAGAAGGAGAGAGGCTTGTTCATGCTTGTCTTCATCCTGCCTCCTTCTCTTACCCTTCCCTTATTCATTTTCCCTTTGTAAGTTGGAGTCCAAGAATTCCTTACAGGGATGATAGTTAGATCTTTGAGAATAGAAGAGTGTGTGATGGCAAAAGGGAACAGGTAGAGGGAAAAGTATGTGCAAAGGGTTGGAGGTATGAAAGACCAGGGCTTTTGGAGGAAGCACACGTATAAGATTACAGAAAAACATGGGCTGTGTCAAGAAGATGGATGTGGAAAGAAGATGATGACCCAGTAAAGAATTTGAAAATTTTCATGTCAAGGGGCTAAGGGGTGGGCACTTTAGTCTAGGGACAGAGGGAAGCCATGAAGTGTTTTAAGCAGCTTAGTGACTTGGTCAGATAGTATTTCAGAAAGATCCTTTGAGTATCATAAGGGGGATCGATAGAAAGGCTAGAGAATGTGGAGACGGGAAACTAGTCAGAAGGCTAGTCAAGGCTCAGTCCACACGTCACCTCTGCCAGGAAGCAGCTCCTGCACATCCGGGCTCTGTCAGACACCTCCTCTGTGCTCTCATAGTACCTTCTGCTCCCCCAGCACAGCAACTTATTCTTTTCATTATAACGTTAACGAGCTGCTGGAGGATGGGGGTCATGGCTGCAAGATTCTTGAATTCCAGCTCCCAATATAGGGGCTGGGCAAAAAACAGAACCTGATGAATGACTTGGGTTGAATGCTTGAGTGAATGAAGAGTGTAGTCATGGGAAAGAGAGGGACACATCCTAGTGACATTTAGGACCTGGTGACTGGGAAAAGGTAAGGGAGAAGGTGCAGTCTGTTTGGGCTGATCATGCATTTCCTATGGGACATGTAGGGACAGATATGTGAAGCAGGTGACCAGTGGGTCTAGCACTGGGCAGGAAGAATGCCCAGATGTGTTGGGGAACCGGACTCACCCTGTATGGGCAAAGTTGGCCCAGTATTTCATCATCTGGTGGCTCAGTGCTTTCTCCTCAGCTGTGGGATGAACTGGGGTCAGAATAGGATGTGACATTTGGAACAGAGCATGGGGTGATAACATCCCACCCTGCTCCTTCCAGTATTTCTTCCATACTGGCAGTCTTTCATTTCTGGGAACATTCTAGATTGGGTACTGCCTAGAACCTTAGGGTGAGACAATGGAGAGGTGAGTCCGGATACAAAGATGAGGAGACCAGACACCCAGTGAGGGTGTCAGGTGGGAGTTTAGCACCTTTGGAGAAGGGATTCCCGAAGATGAAGTGGATCTCATCCCCGTGGTCTGCCCCATCAGTGTGGGGCTTGATGATGACACTGGTGGGAGTGTGGTGCTCAAACTCATACAGGTAGACACAGGGAAGTCAGCATCTAGGAGTAGGGAAACTGAGGAGGGCTGCAGGAAAAGTCCTGGGCTGGGCTCCTCATCCACCCCACACATCCCACCCACCTGCATCAAGCAGGGAAAAATGCTTGGGCTCCAGAATCTCAGAAGATTTGAGTCCCGTCTACACTACTCATCAGTCACATGACCTGGGGCAAGTCACTCACTCAATCTCCCCGAGCTGCAATTCCTCATCTGCAGATGGGAATGCTAAAACTTAATTTATGGGATTGTAGCAAGGATCACAGAAACCTGCCTGTTCCTTCTCTGAACGTTTCCTCTCTTGGGCATTTAAGGTTCTTTGGTGTCTGTGCTCTCCAGTCCCACCTTTGAACTCTCACCCACATGTTCTCCAAGCCCCATTCAGCCTGGAGAGGATCTTCAATGTGACCCTCAGCCTGTCCTCTCAGCCAAGAAGCCTTCCTTGACCACCCTGGGCTATTTCCTCTGGGCCTGACCCTGCCCTGCCCTCCTTCTCCCTTTCTCTCTCAGTTGACAGCACACTATCTTTTCTATGGCATCTGGAATACTATACCAGCCCACCTGCAAGCAGGTGGATGAGCAGTTGGTAAGCAGCACCAGTAGACAGTGTGGCCACTCTTGGGGATCCCACATACTGCTGTGATGGCGGGCAGCCTGTAGCGTGGGGTACACAAAGGTTGCATCCCCAGAGAGGTCCATTACATGGTTTCTTAATATTTTCCAGTCATGGTTGTCAATGTCCCCTAGGTACTCCTCCACCATCAGTGGTAACTGCTTTTTGGTGATATTCTGGGTGGGGAATTCGTACCTACCCTGAGGCCTGGGGAGCCAGCTGAGCCAGAGATGGGCAGACCAGTAACTTAGACTCAGCACCCTCAGGAGGTTTTGGTCTGGAAGATGGGGGAAGAGAGGGGAGCTTCTGGGAAGGTCTCTTTTGCTGATTCTTACCCCTGTGTTTAGATTTCATGAGAACGGTCTGCAATGACCCTGAGGCCAGTGTGGGGGGTGGGGGAGTGAGGACCTGCCAACCAGCAGCCATCTGATCCCATACGAAACTCCAAGCCCCACCAAAAGAAGAGTTAGCCTTGTCCTACCAAACTGAGCACCCCTAACAGCATGGCCCCTCACCAACCGGGTGCTGGTTTTCCAGAGCAGCTTGGTGATGATTCTTTTTCTCATTATCAACTGGCTTAGGGATAGCTTCATGATCTGCTCACAAGATAAGGACCCAGGTATGAGTCAGGCCCAAACATCAGGAGGGATTCCAGCCACAGCTACACCAGGCTCCAAGGCTCTCACCCATTTAAATGGTGAGTTCTCAGAGCACACAGCCCAGGACTATTTCCTGCCCTCCTGCTCCTGTCCACCACTACAACGCAGGTCAGAGCTGCAGTAGGGACTGGAGGCATCTATCCTGACCCAGGAGCAAGGGGGGACCCTAGGATTTGCAGCTGCCTGGAGGCTAAACAATGGCTACAATAATCCATCCGAACTATGATCTGAAGATTTGGGGTCCCCAAACCTCCAAGAGGCCATACTTCTCCTCTTCCTTCTATAATTTCTGGCCAGCTCTTACTGCTCAGGGACTGCAAGATGTACCCAAGCACTTGGACATCCCCAGAAGAGCGAATGAGATCTGATCTCATGCACGGCACTCCCCAAGAGGAATCCTCTGCTACTCCCACTAGGGCCGGCACCCCTCCTATTCACTTACAAAAGGTAAGAGCCAACTGAACTCCAGGTTGTTGACACCCAGAAGATAGGGCACAGGTGCAACTTGCCCCTGGCTCAGGAGCACCACTGGGTCATCTGGGAACACCACACCATCCACCACTCGGTTCATGAACCACACAATCTACAAGGCAAGGGGTATTTCCAACGAGTCCTCCCCCATATCCTCTTGGGATCCCTGCAGCCTAGGGTGCCCACCTTAGCATGTCCCCATCCAGAGACTTCTTTATCCATAGGCCCCTTGGCAAAAGCTGGGGTTCAGTGATCCCTTGGAGGGCAGGTGTGAGAGAGGACTAGGCTACTCAGATTTGGGATGCTCACCCCCAGGTATCTACATTCCATACTCCCTCACCTCTTGAAAATCTTTGCTAAATGTCACCTTCTGAATGAAGCTTTCTTTGTCCCTCCTATTTAAAATTCCATGCCTTCCAACCTACTTACCCTGCTCCATTTTCCACTATTCATTTTCCTTCTAAAGAGGTGAATGAGTTATTTATTTACAGTGATTACTGCCTCTCTTCACTGGAACATCAGTCCTGAGTATCTTGAGTGCCTGGCATACAGGAGGAGGTGTTCAATAAATACTCAAATTACAGAATAGGGCCTGCTCACCTCCTGAGGGTCTTTCTCGGAGTTCTGGTGAAGAATCCCTGTAGGGGAGAAGAAGAGACTAGAATTAAAGAAAATCTCCCCACTGTGCTCCTGAGACAGGGTCCCTGGGGCAGCTGGGTATCAGGTCAGGTGGGTGGCTTGCAGGTGGCCAGCTGAAGGAGCTAGAAGGAAGTTTTACCTACCATCTTCTTGGATACATCCTCAGCCCCTGATCATGCCCTCAGGCAGTCTCCCAGAATCTGTGTGCTATTGTAGGTACAGCCTGCCAGGCGGGCAACTATCTGTGGAGGAGAGGTGTTCAGGCCCATTCTGCCCCTCCTTGCTGAGCCCTGAGGGAGAGGAGACACCCACCTTGGCTACCTTCAGTGGGTCAGCAGTGATGAAGGCTCTGAGTGCTGCGGTGCCACTCTGGGAAATGGCCCAATGGAAGAGACCACAGGCTAGGGGTGACATCATCTGCAGGGGTGGGGAGAGTGGTACCCATGAGAGTCACAAGTAGAAGTCACTTGGGCAGTTTTGGGTGCCTGTCTGGCCAGAGCTTGGCAGTGTGAAAGGGCCCAAAGAGTGCAGGCAGCTGGGAGGGAGTCAAGAGTCCTGTGTTGGAGTCCTAGACCTAGAGCCGGTGCCTTCATGCCTGTGGGTCCCCATATCCTGGTCCCTGAAATGGGCCCCAGAAGTTCCAGAGGGGATCTGAGGTTGTGGGAAGAGTTCTGCTGGTGTAGGAAAAGAGCCTCTCTATGCTTCTGGACTAGAAATTGGGGTGGGGGGGCTCTATGGTTCCCATGGCCCCTTTAACCTGTATTAACAGTTCTTAACTTTCCTTGCTGCCCAAGTTGGGAGAGCAACTTTAACTGGGACCCCTCAACTTGTCTCTTGGGCACTTCAGACTTCATGTGCCCTAAACTTGTTCCAGCTCGTTCCCATCTGAGTGGCGTCCTTCACCCTACACCATCCATCCAGCCCCAGGGGCCTTTCCTATCACCTCTGCTCACCCCACCACCCGGCTGCTCCAGTCCTGTCCACCTGGCCTCCTACCTCCCTCTGCAGCTACTTTCTACTTTCTAGTGTTTCTACTTCTGCTTCAGAGGCAGGCAGGCCTCATCCTCTCCTCTAAGATACCCTCTCCTCTCCACTCCCAGATGGCCTTCAGTTCTCTCCTCCTGCTTCTTTCTAACTCAGTTCCAGCACACCGAGCCATCTCTCTAAATGCACATCTGGCTGTGTCACTTCTCTGCTTCAAATCTTTCCCTGCTCTTCGGTGTATTTTGAATAAAGCTTAACTTTTCTGGACCTCAATTTATCCATCTGCAGAATGGAGAAAACTTCTCTTTTGGTAGAACTGTAGAAAAGGACACTTCTATTTCTGGATTGTTGAGGGAATTGAATGAATATACACACAGTGCTTGGAAGAGTGTTCAACACACAGAAAGTGCTTGAGCATTTGAGTATTATTACTGTGGTGGGTAAAGCCCTGTATGATGTAGTTCCAGCTCACCTCCCAAACATGTGTCCTGCAGAGAGTACCTGACCTTACACCTATATTCCAGGCACACTCCAGGTCAGTGGTCAACCCAGGCTCCAACCCAGGTCCCTGACTCCCAAGGATGGTACCTTGCCCATAGGGCGGATGGTGCGTTCTGTTCAGAGGATAGGGCTCTGGGGGTAGGTAGGGAGGCAGGGGATGCTGGGTGATCTTTCTGGCCCACCACAGATTAGCTGAGTATCCCTACTCTCAGCATTGCCCTCTCTGTTGGCTTGATTTTCTCATCAGTGCTATCCCTGGATGGAGTGGAGCCTTTGCAGGCAGGGGTAAAGACAAGTCTATGCACCAGTATGTTCCTGTACACGCAAATCTGCACCGATGTCTGAGCAGAGGAGAATGTACTCATTGGGAACACGGGGACCTGCATCTGTGCTGGGTCAGACCCGGCGCTGCACTCACCAGTCCTGAGATACACATGGCCCGCGAAGACTGGCCAAACAGGGTTACGCAGCCTGGGTCTCCGCCAAAGACTGCGATGTTCTCTTGTACCCCTCGCAGAGCCGCCACCTGGTCCAGCAGTTCCCAGTTCCCGCGGGCCTGGCTGTCGCCAGTGTTGAGCGCTCGGGGCTTAGAATCAGGGTCCGGAGCCCCCGACTGTTTGGTTGCTCAGGGCTCCTGCCTGGTTCTGCCTGGTCCCACCTCACCCCGCCTGGTCCCTCAGGCACCCGGTCTTGAGACCACATCTCTTTCCCTAGTGTTAGGTTTCCCTCCCTGGCGGCTCTCGGGGGTGTCCGCCCTCTCCAGCCGAAATTAGGCCCCGCCCCTGCATGCGCCACTTGTAGCCACGCCCCCAAGCCCTTTCCCCTATCCTTCTACCCAGTCGCCATATCTTAGGCGCTGAGCCCAATTCCCTAGGAAGCCGGACTCCTGGTTCCCCGCCCACCTCAGGAAACCCAGGATGCCGAGCCTGTGCTGCAGAAGCTCGAGCACCGTTTTCTCACGGGCGGCCAACTCTGAGCCATCGTACGTGGAAGCGGAGCCCACGAGGAAGGCACCTCCTGGGAACCAGACTGTCACCTGGACGTGGGAAGCCGAGGCCTGAGCTGGGCAGTGGGGTGCCTGAGTGGAATGGCGCGTGGATGAGGATGAATACTCACCGGCAGCGGAGCGTCCCCACGCGCGCGCACTGGCGCGTACACGTTGAGGTACAGACAGTTCTCGCTGAAGCGCAGCCGTTTGTATTGTTTCCGCGTGTTGAAGTACATGGAGGTGATCCGTCCCCAGGACTCCTGAAGGCACCTGTGGTCACGATGTGAGTTTGGCCCCAACGTGGTGGCCAAAGACGGGAGAATGGTTGCAAACCCAGGTTCCGCATTTGAGGGAATAGAACCAAAAGCAAAATTTAGGATGCGCGCGCACGTGTCTATGTATCAGTGTATCTCAAGTGGTGCCCTCTGCTGGGCACTTCCCCTCAGTGCTTCTCAAAGCTCTATCCACGCTGATTACAGTGCTGGGTTAGACTTGTTTGGATTGATTTGGTTGTTTTTCTCCTCAAGCAGTCATGCACTCCTCAGGGGCTGGGATGGATGTGGATTTGTCCGAGTCCTGGCACCCAGCCCAGTGCCTTGTACCATGTGGACATTTGGTGTATTTGTGAAGCTTGGGCTGTTGGGCCACCTCACCTTTTCTCCCTGCTGGCCCAGCATGGAGGGTGGCTATTTCCAATAGTTGGGGTTGGGCCCATCTGACTGGCTGCAGGAAAGCCTGTCTATTCTACTCCTTTCTCCACTTGTTCCCTTGCTGCTCTGGCCCCAAGCTACTCATTATCCAAACTGGTTACTAGTCTTCTCTTCTCCTTAACTACCACCCCACAGTCTGTTCTAAACCATCACAAATTCTTCTACCTGTCACGCTGTGTTCAAAACAGCTTATGTCTGACAGCTGAGGTTCCAACAACTGACACCCGGACTTCTATGCAATGGGCACCCCAATCTCTAAACCTCTGATCCTTGGGGCTCTAACAATGGTCATCCCGTGTTCTGTCACCTGATCCATGGGATTCCAAATAACAATCACAGAAGGTTCAGAATGTTGTGGTTTCTCTCAATGGTGGTCAGTATTCTAACACTAACACCGCAGTGATCTACTAACAGCCATCCATGTACTAAACACTGGATACCCTGTTCTCAACAGACACCCTGGGTAGTGGTTATAGTTTTAAATATCAACTGACACCCAGGCTCTCATAATAGACATTTTTCTAAACCCAGTGCTTTATCCAACTGATCGTTAATGATTGCCACAGAATATTTGATCAGTGGGTTACTCAATGATCTGAGTAAATAATAAATACACTTGTTCTGGGTAAATTGCCAAGCCCAGTGCTTCAAAGGGCAGTCATTATCTCCACACGCTCACATGACTCAGGATTTGAGCCCTGCTAGAGGTTGCGTTAAGATTCTGGGAATTTGGGGTGCCTGGGTGACTCATTCGGTTGGGTTCAGATTATGATCTCAGGGTTGTGGAATTGAGCCCTGCATTGGACCAGAGTCCAGTGCTGGATGTGGAGCCTGCTTAAGATTCTCTTTCTCCCTCTGTCCCCCCTCCCTTGCTCATGCACTCATACATGCTTTCTCTCTCTCTCTCTCTCTCTCTCTCTCTGAAAAAGAAAAGTTCTGGGACATTAAAACCGGAACTGAGCCTGTGATTCCCTATCTTAGAGCTCCTTCTGCAGGGAAGAACTGGTGGTGCCATGTGGCTTGTTCTGGGGCTCAGGCCCCAAGTGAGAGGGAAGAACTTGGGGTTCACTGGGTATGGTGTGTGTGTGTGTGTGTGTGTGTGTGTGTATGAGAGAGGGAGAGAGAGAGAGAGGGAAAGAGAGAGAGAGGGAGAGAGAGAGAGAAATTGAGGACTGCTCCTCACACACTTTTGGAAAACTTAGATTTCCAGAAGATCCTGGGGGCACATCAGTGAGCCCCTCCTCCTTGTCTGGAGCTTTCCCGTAAGAGAGCCAAGAACAGCATTATCAGTGCTGTAAACATCATCTGGGCCAATTACTTCATTATATAGGTTTGGAAACTGAGGCCCAGGATGGACCCCTGGCCTGCCTATGCTCACACAGTATACTCTTTTTAGTGAGTTGTTCAAACCCTGGCCCAGAGGCAGGCATAGGTCTACCGCCCTCCTTAGAGTCTGCCCACCTCCCAGCCAACAGTCCTTCAGCTCTTACGCAGGAACATAGTTGGTGGTATTTCTGATTCCTTCCCAGGGCTCTGGGGGCTCTGGGGCAGCAAACCTGTGGGCACCCACAGGAGGTCTGGAGAAGAGGACTCCTAGGAAGACATTAATAGGTGTCTTCCCCATGTGCATCTGTTTTCCTTGGAGGGCCCCGTATTTGGTAACCACTAGAGGTTCCTTGGTGTGCTGAGCACCTAGGAAGAGAGGAGAAGGGTCACTCTGGCCACTGAAAGGACTCTGGCCCATCTGTCATGGCACCTGTCGCAGCTTGAAGCTTTTTACAATTGCATATTTGTCCACCTTCTCTGTGTTTCGCTCAGTATTTTTCTCTCATTATTTAAGGTTTCAACATTGTTGGTAGGTGCATAAAGGTTCATGTCTATTATATGAATTACTTTTCTGTCACTTAAATAAACTTGTCATTTCTTTTAATTTTTGCTTGTCTGATATGGGTATTCCAATATCTCTATCTTGTTGCTGACATTTACCTGGCATACTTCCGGGAAGAAATCACACATATTATTGACATTCTCATTCTCATATATATTCACATTAATACTCACATGTACATACAAATTTATACATATATAGGTATATATGAACACAGATTATTTACAAGACATGTGGAAATAAAGAGTTAAGTGCACACCCATATGCATGTAAGTACAGTTATATAAAGGTTACAATGTATCCATATGTAGCATATATTCATATATTACACACAGGCACACAGATAATTAGACGTATACCTATACCTTAACTAACTCTTGGACTATATACAAACTAGACCAACTTGAAGTTAACGTCTGCCTATGGACACTTCTTCCTCTTGTAAGCTCTCATCTTGCCCGTGTCTTATTGCCAAGCATTGCTCAGGCCTCCCATCTATTGCCCTTTCCTGAAGCACCCTTCCTCTTTCTCTCTTATCAAAACTGAATCGTTCTGTACGCTGGCCCCCTGGAGCTCACTCTGTAAATGACAGAAAGCAAATCTGGTCTAAGTGTTACTGAGGAAATCATTGCTAAATACAGATTCCTAGGCCTGCCCTCTGAATGAGAATCTCAGGTTGCGTCGGGAAAGTAGATTTACAAATATCTCCGTGAGATTTTGATGCATCTGGTTTTTGGCATAGCATTTGGAATTGGTATGAGAGAGCACACCCTCACACCTCTAGCTGCAGGTGGCCCAAAGTACCACTCTGCCCATGTTCCCAAGACCCTGCGGGTCTGCCAAAAGCAGTATCTGTGCACAAAGGAGTGGCTACAGTGGTGGCCTGTAAGCATGTAGGCAGGCCAGTGCAGGCAAAGGGCCATCTCAAACCCCTCTATGTGTGCAGTTCTTTGCGGTTTACAAAGCCTTTACGTGGTCCTCTCACGTGAGTTCCTCAATGGCCCTGGGGAGAGTGTAGGGGAGGGCTAAGGGCCCAGACAGGGGCAGTGACCAGTTTGATGTCTCATGGAACAGAGCAAGGAGGTGGAGGTCTGTCACATTACCTGGATTTGCCCTGAAGCCTGGGTCCACTCATGATCGACTAGCCCACAACTGTAATTTACTAATCCTTTATTACAGCCCAGCACTGTGCCAAACCCTTTACATGGACTATCTCATCTCATCCTCCTAAAAAATGTAGAGAGTAAATGTTACTATTATTCCACAATATAAATATGGAAATGGAAGCTCAAAGAGGTTATAGAACTTGCACAAGGTCACATAGTGTGAGGTTCTTCTCAGAGTTCTACTCTAAGCAGTGATGTTCTGTTGTTCTCACCCCAGTCTCTGGGGACACCTAACCGTGGGGCAGAGTGCTTTACATCCCTGAACACGAGCTGCCATGGAGTGGTCCCCAACCCAGCCCTGCTATCCAGAGACCATATGTGAGCACTTATGAAAACATTCCACTTTCTTTTTTTTTTTTTAATGTTTATTTTTGAGAGGGAGAGAGACAGAGTGTGAGTGGGGAGGGATAGAGAGAGAGGGAAACACAGAATCCAAAGCAGCCTCCAGGATCCCAGCTGTCAGCACAGAGCCAGACGCAGGCTTGAACCCATGAACTGTGAGATCATGACCTGATCCAAAGTCAGAGGCCCAACCAACTGAGCCACCCAAGGGTCCCATTCCACCTTCTTAGTAGGCATAAAATGCTAATTAAAACCAGGAGATACAACTTTCACCTAATTAAAAATGATGGTACCCAATTCTGGCAAAGATGCAATGAAAAGGACATTCATGTATACTGTTGGTGGAGGATAAATTGATACAATGCCTTGGGGAAATAATTTGGCACAATGTATAAGAGCCATGTTCACATGCTTGACTCAGTAATTTTTTTTTAAGTTTTTATTTAATTATATAGTTTGAGAGAGAGAGAGATCGTGTGCATGAGAAAAAGCAGGGGACGGGCAGAGAGAGGGAGAAACAGACTCCTAAGCAGGCTCCATGCTGTCAGCTCAGAGCCAGATGTGGGGCTCCAACTCATGAACAGCGAAATCTTGATCTAAGTAAGCTGAAATCAAGAATCAGATGCTTGCTTAACCCACTGAGCCACTCAGGTACCCTCTACCCCAACCTTTTAAAAAGCTTTTTAAAATTTATTTGACTCAGTTATTTCACTTTCAGATCCCTCCCTTCAGAAAAGAGTCAAAAAAGCATTAAAACAAAGACCTTTATGTACCATAGTTAAATATAGCGTAATGAGTATGAGAAGCATCATTTATGTCATAGGACCAGGCAAAAAAAAATTTAGCTAAAGTTACAAGCTGCTTATGATAAGATTCTAAGTGAAAAAGAAAAAAAGCAGAGTATAAAGTTGTATACATGCTAATATTGTAGCTATGTACAAATATGAATGAAATAAAAAGACTAAAAATGTGCCAAAATGCTAAAAGTGACTTAGCAAAGCCTGTCTCAAATAAAAAAATTTAAATGCACTTATATAAGGCACCTGGGTGGCTCAGTCAGTTAGGCGTCCGACTTTGGCTCAGGTCATGTTTTGTGCTTCCCAAGTTCGAGCCCTACATTGGGCTCTCTGCTGACAGCTCAGAGCCTGTGGAGCCTGCTTCGGATTCTGTGTGTGTCTCTCTCTCTGCCCCTTCCTGATTGCACTCTCTCTCTCTCTTTTAAAATAATAAAACATTAAAAAATTTTAAATGCACTTATATAGGCAAAACTAATTTTTAAAAAAAATTTATTTTTAAAATAAACTAATTTATGATAGAGGTCAGAATAGTGGTTATTTTTGAGTGTATTGATTGGGAAGGGACATGTGGGGTGCTGATCTCAATCTGGTTGGTGGTAACATACACATACACAGTAATGTATATACTAATATAGTACTAATTTTTTGCAATATGAATTTTATAAGGAATACAAGTATAAATTAACAAATTATAAATATACAAGATTATGTAAATTATAAAACATTTTATTTTAATATATAAACATAAACATCTAGACTCTTAGCTGATGGGAGGATCAGTGCCCTGAAACAACTCCCCCGTCTGCCCAGACCTTGTCGAAATGCCCTTGCCCTGCTGTACCAGGAGAGGCTGAGCTGAGGGCCTGCCCCTGTGTCTCTCATGTCCCTCTTGCCTGACACTCTCAGGATGGGGTGGGGGCCTACCCAGGACTGTCTGCACCATCAGGCAGAGGGTGAGGCTCAGGTATAGAATCCAGCTCATGTTCCGGGCAGCCAGCTCCTGCCACAGGCTGGGGTGACGTCCACACTGTGGGTATTGGTTGGCAGCTGTGTCTGCAGTGTCCGGTGAGCACTGGGAAATCCTGCTTTTGTCTTCCCTTAACCCCATCAGCAGGTGTTGGGGCAAAAGAAATTGTGACCAGCCCTTTGACCAACCCACAACCTCGATTGTCTGCCTTGGAGTGACAGGGCATGATAGATAGTCTTGGCTCTTCAAAAAACTGACCAGTCTGCAATGTCTGTCCGGCGTGCTCATCTGTGCAATGGGCTTATAGCTGCAGTGTGAGTCAAGCTCTGAGCGCACAGTAGGTGCTAAGACTGCAGTACAGCACCTGGTCAGTTTGCCCCTCAGTCCCCAGGTGTCTTTGCTGTGGATTTAAGGGCCTCAGGCCTCCCTGCCCCCCTCTGCCTTGCCCTGCATTACAGGCAATGCTCCACCCTTCCTCACACAGCCTGGTTCTCTCAGCGAGGACCATCGTGAAGTGGCAGGCTCTGTGTCAGGAATCAAAAGCCCCAGGGAGAACCATTCCTGCATGGTTGCTGCCCTCACAGGCTCAAGGTCCTTTTGGGGCAGTGAGGTCTGGAAGCACTTGGGCCCAGATTGGGGAAGGGGGACGAGAGGAAGGTGGAGTCCCATCTTAATTCAAAGTTGAGACTGTTCCCTTCCCAATCTCCCATCAAAGCCTGGTGTCCTTTGAGAACAAGGAACTGATGGGATTCTGTGATGCCTCTGCTTAGCAGGGTGGAATGAGCAGAGAGGGAAAGGTAGGGGAAAGGTGCTATTCTTCCTTGATCCATGGCCTCCTGCTCTGGAGGCCTGGCAGATGGTTAAGGCTTATTCCTTCCCTCATGGCCAGTTTTGTGGGTTCTTCAGAGATGTCCCTTCCTTGGGATACCTCTCCCCCAGTTCCTATCCTGTGATCCTTCCTCAGTCTCGAGGAGTGTGGCATTTTCTGCCCAGCATTTCTTCCCAGGCTCTATGCCCCTCTAAGAAAGAGGCCTGAGACAGACCAGAGGTGACCTCCAGTCCTTCAGGGTCTATACGGGCAACCCTTTGACACCTCTTGCCCCGCTCTGGGAAGGACACGGCCCTTCCCATTGCAGCCCCTCTGCCCTGCCCACTGTGGTCACAAGCTGGTGGAGTCAGGCTCCAGTTGGCTGAGCTTCCCCATGGTGGGCAGCACCTTTCACCCTCCTCCATGGTCTCCCGAAAAGGAGTCCCACAGATTGAGGGGAAGGAAGCAGGATGAGGATTCACAGGGAGGTAACAGCTCTTTCTAGAGAAAAAATCTCTGTTAACACCTCCACTGCCAAATTTTTTTTTCAATTATTTATTTTTATTTTGAGAGAGAGAGAAAGAGAGAATCCCAAGCAGTCTCCAATGCTCAGCATGGAGCCTGGTATGGGGTTCGATCCCATGACCCTGGGATCATGACCTGTGCCAAATGCCAGAGTCAGATGCTTAACTGACGAGCCACTCAGGTGCCCCAAACTCTCTTTTTTTCCCCCCAACCCTGCAAACTCTGTTTTTTAAGCCTTGAATGGCCACGGGGCCTGGGAAGTGCAGAAATGGTTCTCACACCATTTTCTGTGGTCTAAAATTCTCATGTGCTGCTGTGGCTTGGGGACTTCCATGTCTACTGCATCGTGGGGTCTTGGTAAACACAGCAAAGTTCCTTCCCTGTTACAAGCTTACTGTTGTTACAAGCTTACTTATTGTAGGATGTCTTCATGCTCTGGTGGCAGGCATGTTACTGACAGACTTTCCTAACATCATTGAACAACATGGAGCAAGAAAGTTAAAACTGCCTTGTCTTTTGACCGAGAAATTTGTTCTGGGAGACCATCCAAAACACAAAAAATTGTTTATATGATGAGTGTTCTGTAACCTTGTTGATAGTAGTCTTACCCAACATGACCAGAAGGGATGGGTGAATTATATAATTCACATTATATATAATATATATATATATAATATAACATTATATAATATATGCTACACAGTCAGGAATGACATGTTCTCTAAGACTCAGTAGCAGGAGATGGCTTAGTGTGGTGGTTCTGAGCCAGGCTGGGTTTGAATCCCAGCACTGCCCATCATGAGCTGTATGACCTTGGGAAAGTCACTTACCTTTTCTGAACCTCAGTTACTTCATCTGTAAAATCAGCATAATAACACTACTTAACTCATACAATTGCAATAAGGTTAAATGGGCTAAAACAGGGAAATTACTTAAAACAGGGGAAACTGAATATGTCAGCTATTGTCATCAGTACTTGGGAAAAGGCTGTAGTTTAATAACTTGGAAAGGGCAGAATTTGAAATTGTATATTGAATATGACCAGATTAGCCACAGAGCATAGACTCCAAAGCTGTCTAAAGAAACAGGAAGGATTAATGTCAAAATGGTGTCAGTGGTTGCTTCTGAGTTGCAGAGTCATTAACAATCTTGATTTTTTCTTTAATTTTTCTGTATTTTTTATGCTTTCTTTAATAACATTAGTGGAGAGTTCACCATCAGTGTGGGGTTCAAGAGAGCAGGGATGGGAGGACAGGGAAGGCAGAACCAAAGAAGTAGTGACTTCCAGAAGCTCTATCTCGTATGGACCATGTCCCTCTTTCTGGACCATATTCACCTTCTCGTTACCTCCCTCTGCCAGACTCCCCTGTGGGCTACGTATGGTCACATCATTAGGAGTACAGAGCCCTGGGTCTCTGCTCCTCCCCGTTCGACAGACAGCCGCATCTTCTGGTGCAGTGCCAGCTGCGTCCCCGAGACACGATGGTGAAGGTCGGAGTCAACGGATTTGGCCGCATTGGGCGCCTGGTCACCAGGGCTGCTTTTAACTCTGGCAAAGTGGACATTGTTGCCATCAATGACCCCTTCATTGACCTCCACTACATGGTCTACATGTTCCAGTATGATTCCACCCACAGCAAATTCCACGGCACAGTCAAGGCTGAGAACGGGAAACTTGTCATCAACGGAAAGCCCATCACCATCTTCCAGGAGCGAGATCCCGCCAACATCAAATGGGGTGATGCTGGTGCTGAGTATGTTGTGGAGTCCACTGGGGTCTTCACCACTATGGAGAAGGCTGGGGCTCACTTGAATGGTGGGTCCAAGAGGGTCATTATCTCTGCCCCTTCTGCTGATGCCCCCATGTTTGTGATGGGTGTGAACCACGAGAAGTATGATAACTCTCTCAAGATTGTCAGCAATGCCTCCTGCACCACCAACTGCCTGGCCCCTCAGGCCAAGGTCATCCATGACCACTTCGGCATCGTGGAGGGACTCATGACCACAGTCCATGCTATCACTGCCACCCAGAAGACTGTGGACGGCCCCTCTGGGAAGCTGTGGCGTGACGGCCGAGGGGCTGCCCAGAACATCATCCCTGCTTCTACTGGCGCTGCCAAGGCTGTGGGCAAGGTCATCCCTGAGCTGAACGGGAAGCTCACTGGCATGGCCTTCCGTGTCCCCACCCCCAACGTGTCTGTCGTGGATCTGACCTGCTGCCTGGAGAAAGCTGCCAAATACGATGACATCAAGAAGGTGGTGAAGCAAGCATCAGAGGGCCGCTCAAGGGCATCCTGGGCTACACTGAGGACCAGGTCGTGTCCTGCGACTTTAACAGTGACACCCACTCTTCCACCTTCGATGCTGGGGCTGGCATTGCTCTCAACGACCACTTTGTCAAGCTCATTTCCTGGTATGACAATGAATTTGGCTACAGCAACCGGGTGGTGGACCTTATGGTCCACATGGCCTCCAAGGAGTAATAGCCCCCTGGACCACCAGCCCCAGCAAGAGGTAGAAGAGAGACCCTCAGCTGCTGGGGAGTCTTTGTCCCATTTCATCCCCCAACACACCTGAGAATCTCCTGACCTCCAGTTTCCATCCCAGACCCCCTGAAGAAGGGGAGGGGCTTGGGGAGCCCTATGTTACCATGTACCATCAATAAAGTATACTGTATCCAGCCAAAAAAAAAAAAAAAAAGAGTACGGAGCCCTGTTTGACGGAGATGACAGAGCCACTTGTTTCTTCTGCCTAGGACCTGACAAGATTAGTTTACCTGAAAGGTACCTGAATGCACTAAGCATGTGTCACTCAAAGCAAGGGCCACACTGGGGGAGGAGGACAAGGGAAGGGGGTGGTAGAGAAGGCAGACAGCACTGTGAATCTACCTGCTAGGCCTGAGGACCAGTCATATATAGTCTCCTCCACCCAGCTGTGCAGCAACTTGGCCAGTTCTGTGTGGGCCTTAAGGTGTCGTCCTGCCAATAGCTGGTTCCACTCCTGCCATCTCTTCCTGAAGAGGAAACAACCTTTCAACTGGTCCCTATAGGGAGCAGTTGTGCCAGACCAGCTGCCTCAGGAAAGAGGCGCTCCATGCAAAGTTCACATGGGGCAGGGGGGTTGATGAATGGGTAGCTGGGTCAGCCAGATGTCCTTGGTGCAACCTTATCTTAGGGTTAAGAATCTGTGATTCTGATATGTAGCACTAGGTGGCACCTGTCCTGAGTCACCCAGCTTCCTCTGTTTGTGGGGGAAGACTGAAGCCCCATCTGGTCCACTACTGGGCTTTTGAGATAAGTAGACATGTCTGACAAGTGGGTGGAGTGTTCTTTTTTTTGTTGTTGTTAAGACCTTTTAAAATGTTTATTTACTTTAGAGAGAGGGAGAAAACGTGTGTACAAGCCGGGGATGAGCAGAAGAGGATCTGAAGCGGGCTCTGTGCTGACAGTGGAGACCCCAGTGTGGGGCTCAAACTCACAAACCATGAGATCATGACCTGACCCAAAGTCAGACACTTAACTGACTGAGCCAGCCAGGTGTCCTAGGGGTGGAATGCTCTTAGAGGCCAGATCTCAGGTCCTGGAGAGAGGAGTCTCTTGGAACTGGCCTAGCAGTTGGGCCGGGGATGAAGTTAGGGGGCATGGTTCTGGACCCACCAGGGTTCTGACATGACGTCCCGCCACAGGGGGCAGTAAAGGGTACCTGCAAAGATGGAGGGATCCTCTCACTGAGCTGAGATCCTATGCTCAAGCAGGTCAGCAGTGACCCTCACCAGGGTATATCAAAATGAAGGGAGTTACCCTTCTCTGTTCCAAACAGCGTTAAAGGTAGTCGTTACAGACCGAGGGAGAGTGTGTGTCTGTCAGGACGGCACCATTAAGGAACCTTCAGGACCTTCTGGCCAGCAAGGATTCATAGATGGCCAGCACTGAGGAAGCCTAGAGGCCAGTGCCAGGGGTGGGGGAAGCCAACACCAAGCCATGGATGGTAGATACAGTTAGGACCCCCCCAAAGGGGCTTGGCCAGTGTGCTTGGCCACTTCTGTATCCACAGGTGCTTCTTAAGAAAGCACAGCCTCAGCTTAGCTGTGGACTTGATAACTCCTGGGACACCTCCATGGCCTGGAGGCTCCCAAACAAAAGAAGTCCAAAACTTATACTCTAAAAACCACAAAACATTTTTTAACAAATTAAAATAGATGTAAACAAATGGGAAGATACTCCATGTTTGTGTGAAAGGACTTAATATTGTTAAGTTGGTAAAATCACAGTCCCCAAATTGGTCTGCAGATTCAGTGCCATCTCTATAAGAATCTCAGCTGACTTCTTGGTAGAAATTGACAAGTGGATTCTAAAATTTATATGGAAATGCAAGGGAATGGAATAGCCAAAACAATCATGAACAAGGATAAAGTAGGCAGACTCATAGTGTCCTATTTCAAAACTTATTGTGAACAAATGGCAATCAAGAGAGGGTGGTAGATGTTGGAATAAGCCAAACATATAAATTAATGGAACAGAATTTAGAGTCCATAAATAGACCCATAGTATCTTTGCTTGGCTGATTTTCGACAAGTGTGCCAAGATCATTCAGTGGTGGGAAGAATGGTGTTTTCAGCAAATGGTATTAGATGACTGGATAGCCCCATGCAAAAGAGTAAAGAAAATGAAGGCAATCCACAGAATGGGAGAGGATATTTGCAAATCATATACAAGTAGCTGTTAAGGGACTTGCATTTGGAATATATAAAGGACTCTTACAACTTAACAAAAAGACAGCCCAATTAAAAAATGGGCAAAGGATACAAAGAGATATTTTTCCAAGGAATATATTTAAAAGGTTACTAGACATATGAAAAGATGTTCAACATCATTTGCCATCAGGGAAATGCAAATCAAACCAACATTAGATGCCACTTCACACCCACTAGGGTGGCTGGAAGAAAAAAGTCAGATAATGTTGCCCAGGATGTAGAGAAATCTAAATCCTCATAGACTTCTGGTCAGGATGTGAAATGGGACAGCTACTTTGGAAAACAGTCTGACAGTTCCTCGAATGACTAAACATAAGAGTTACCATATAACTTAGCAATTTTACTCCCCTGTGTATGTGTGTGTATGTGTGTATATATATATATATATATATATATATATATATATCTCCAAGAGAAATGAAAACATGTCCACACAAAATTTGTACACAAACATTTAGAGCAGTATCATTCATAATAGCTACAAGGTAGAAACAATCCAAATGTTCATCAGTTGATGAATGGGTAAACAAAATGTGGTATATCCATAAAATGGAATATTATTTGGCCAAAAGAAATGAAGTACTGATACTTGCTATGCCATGGCTGAACAGCTAAACATTGTGCTAAGTGAAAGAAACCGATCACAAAACTATGTATAATATGATTCCATTTATACGAAATGTCCAGAATAAGGAAACCAATAAAGACAGAAAGTAGATTAGATACGAAAAATCATTTAACTGTACCCTTTACTTTTTTAAGGTTTATTTATTTATTTTGATAGCTCAGAGCGAGAGTGCACACATGTCAGGGCTGGCCTATGTCTCTGTACCCCTACGGCCCTCTGTGTCCCTAGTGACACACTGTGATTGGGGCTCATATACTTGTCAGGCTCTCTACTGGCGTGTGGGGACGCACTTCCCTGGTGGAGAGGGGGGCGACAACAGAAGGCTTTCAATGCCATGTGAAGAACTTAGACTTGCCCTAAGGGTGACAGAGAATCACAGGGAGCTCTTGAGCAGGGGAGTGGCATCACTCAGTGTCCTTCTGGCTTTATGTCTCCACCCTGCCCAAAATGGACTTTCCGGTACAGCACTGGTCCCAATTGCAAGTGTTTTTCATGTAACCCTCGGCGGCCAGGAACTGAGTGTGATGGAGGAAGGGTGTAGGTGGGGTTAGACCTGTAGGATAAGATAGTGGGGGCAGGGAGAGTCCATGTGATAAGTATTAAAATACAGATGCTCCAAGGGAGTGGTGCATTGATCCTCAAAAAAGAAAGGTTTGCCCCTGCCCAAATCCTCTGTACTCTCTTCACCTGCTGTAGCCTGTGTGGGTAGTCCTCTTCTTTTCTCTGTGACAACAGCCTGACTGATGCACTAGTCCAGACACCCTCCCCCAATCTCTTCTGCCATGTCCTGGTTAGGTGCTGTGGAGGCTGTGCTGAGCTCCCACAGAAGTTGGTCTCCCCAAGCTGGGAGGGCAGGGAGGAGCCTAGCCAGGGCATAAAGGATTGAAGCGCTAGGGCTGGGAAGCTGACACCTCAGAGGCTAAGAGTCAGGGCTTTGGCCCTGCTGGATTCTGCTCTGTCTTGTTCAGGGGAACAGGGCACAAGTGTGGGCGGCACAGAGAAAAGGATCTCTTTTTAGCCTGAGTTAGAGGCCTTTGGGGGCTAAGATCCATTCTGGGCTAGATCTTTTGAGGTCTCAGGATTTCCTCCTACCCCAGGACTGCCTTTGGAGTCCATTCACTCTTCTGGCCAAGGAGGACATCTGTGTAGGACTGAGCATAGTTTTGATGGCTGAAGAGCCTGGGTTCACATCCAGCAGCCACCATTCACATACTCTCTCAGTCTTTTACTTGCTCTTCAAACATCCCTGACTCCAGGTCCTCCTGATCCTTGTGTGGAAGACTCAGAGTGGGGTCAAGCTGATTTCTACTCTCAGAGAGGGTAAAGACAGAGATACAGACAGTGTTAGCCTGGAGTGGACTATGTTGTAATGGACATAGACTCGGGCCTAGAGAAGGGTTCTTGGAGGAGGGAGATTGAGGAAAGAGCTAGAATGTGCTATGAAGCAAGGGGGAAAGAAGAGGGAGGAGTTTGTACAGAGGCCCCTAAGGTGGGAAGCAGGTGACATTTCAACAGAGCACAATGCCAGTCACGGAGGGGCTGATTCCTTAAGGGACATATTGATACATCAGCTTGGTTTGAGTTAAATTTTCTTAGCAAGGGGTGAAAGAAGCTGCTTTGCTGGGACTCTGCCACCCCTAGGGTTAGCTCCCAGCCAAGAAGGCCCACTCTCTGCCTCAGAGATCCTCCTGGGCCTTCCTGTTCTTCTTCTGCTGCTGCCGCTGCTGGAAATTGGCAGAAAGTATCTCTGCCCAGAACTGCATTCGCGCTTCTCTTAGCTTCTGGCCAACTTGTAGTGTCGGGGTGATTTCCAGGTATTGCTCCAACTGGTTGAATGGAGGCCAAGGAGGCAGCTGTTCATCATTGGGGCTCCTGCGTGGGAAGAATGAATGAAGGAAGGAAAAGGCCACCTGCTTTATCCCCTGGGGGAAGATCTGCTTGGTAGAGGCCCAAAGCCAGGTGTACCTGCTTGTTCACTCACCCTGTCCGGGCAAACTGGGCCCACTGGGCCATCATGGTGAGGCTCAGCTGCTTTTCCTCTTCTGTAGCTTCTGGAAAGGCTGGGGGAGGAACCGACCTGGATCAAGGTCAAGTGGGTCCTGGAGGGAACCCAAGGGTTCCCTGTGCTGACTGGAGATCTCTGTGCCTACAAGCCCCACCCTAGCCTATTGGAGCCTACAGCCCAGGGATCGCATGTCTATCTGTCCTCACCCAGCAGGGAGCTCTCATCCGTGAGGAAAGGACCCCCGAATACGAAGGCAATCTCAGCCCCATGGTCAGCCCTCACCCAGTCTGGCTTGATCTTCACAAAAGAACTGGGTCGATGCTGGAACTCATAGAAAAAGACAGGGGCTCCAGAATCTGTGGAGAGAGGGTGGCATCAGAGTTAGGTACCCTCAGCCTGATCAGGTCCTACCTCTGAGAGTAACACCAATAACACCAACCCCAGTAACAATTCTGATGATGACACCATAATTATCAGCAAACATTTACTGAGCACTTGCTGGGTTTTATGAGCCATTCCATGTGCTTAATGTGCAATCATTAATTTCATCCTCATAGCAACCTATGGGTTAGAGTCTATTATTGTCACCACTTTGCAAATGAGGAAACTGAGGCACAGAGGGGTTAGGTATCTTGCCTAAGGTCACAAAGATAGGAACTTGGTGCTATTCTAGGGCTGTGTCAGAGTCTAGCCACTAGGCTTGGAGGAAGCAAGACTTTTTTCCCAGGAGAGGTGCCGAACATGAGAAAAATCAATGAATGCCTGAGAATTGGGGATGGGCCCTGTTGGATGACCTTAGACAAGTCACTGCACCTTCTGAGAGCTTGTTTAGAGGTTCTAGCAGGGGACCATTGCTACTCATATACCCTTGACTGAAGAATGGCCTTCCTCTACCAGGGAAGGTTGTCCTTGACTGTGTGGCTTTGGGAGGGACACACATGGAGCGATGAGGGAGGAAGAGGACACCCGCCTATCCAGTCAGATCAGCTGAATCAATCCTGGCGATCAATGGGCTGACACATGTCACAGCCAGGTCGTCCTCAAATCCCCACTGCACATCTCTGAGCCTTGATTTTTTTTTTTCCCCTGCAGAATGACCTGCCAGAGTCACCTCTCATTATTGTTAATGCTGCATTTTAGAGAGGAAGCGGGGTGTAGGGGTAGCATCAGGGTGTGGTAATGCCTATGATAACCCAATTCCTGGGCCAAAATGGGAAGGGTAGAGCAGGTGAACAGGGATAGGCTCACCTCGGAGGCTTCTTAAGAAATTCAAGACAGGAAAGATAATGATGATGTCACCCATAATTTCCTGGAAGGCGTTGCGTATGGCTTCTGCGTTGAAACTGCTGCCTAGGTATTCATCTGTGATGGTGGGCATCACCTCGGGGGGCACATCCTGGGGCAAGAGGCCAGGCTCAGGCATGCTCAGTTCCCACAGCCCAGCAGACCCTCCAAAGAAGCCTCATACCCTCCAGCATGGCCTCTTCATATTCCAGGGCTCATGTGCCAGGGGCCATCCCTTGCCTCCCTTGGGGGTTCTAGATAATGTCTAGGCAGAATAGGTCAGACCTGGAGTCAAATGTTAGCTCTGAAATTGGTGCTTGGTTATGTGATCTCAGATAGGTTGCTGAGCCTCCCAGAAAATCAGTTCCTGCCTGGCAGGGTTGTTTGGCAGACTACGTAAAGTTCCTAGCTACGGGTTCTGGTCTTGAGCTATTGCCCGGTTGAAGTTAACCAGGAAGTTGCTGAGAGAACAAATCATGGGGGCTCCACAGAGCTCCAGAGAACAGTGATGAGGTTGTATGAATGGATAGGGCTCTGGGGTTCCAAAGAAGGGAGAGGGAAATGTGCATAGATTGAGCACCTTTCAATACTAGCTCCCTAGCAGACTTTTCAAATACAGCATCCAGTTCCTTGTATGGGAGGTTTATCCTCATTTACAGATGAAGAAATGGGCTCAAAGGGATTAGGCTAACTGAGGACAGGTAGCCAAGGCTGGGATTGGACTCCAGATCCACTTTGCTCCACATCTGACAGGATCATCCTAACAGCTGAAGCTGTGGGATTAGACAGAGCTGGCTCAAGCTTTGCCTCTGCCCTTTACTTATCATGAGACCTTGACCCCTCTATAAAATGGGGATAATGAAAGTATTTTACAGGGATGCAGTGAGGATTGAAGGAGATTATTGTCCTAGTGCTCAGCACAGCACAGTCTCTGGCATATAATATGGGCTCAGTAAGGGGCAGTCTATGATGAAAATGATGATGATGATCTTCCTCTGAGAACCACACTGACTCACTTCCAAGGGGATTTCTAGGTGGAACTAAAAGTCAGCAGTTGGACCAAGGGGTTTGGTGGTGTGGGGGTAGCTGTGGGGTTTGGAGGGCAGGAGGAAGAGGCTGCCCTACTATTCTGGATAGGATACCCACTGGACTACCACTTCCTCTCTTTTGACTCACCAGAATGGTCAAGAAGGGTCTCACTATTGCCAGCATATCCTCCAGGCTCATCTGATTCATCTTATCCAGGAGACCCAAGCCCTGTGGGGACATCAAGGTCCTCTCAGCACAGCCTGATCACTGCCCACTCCCAACCGTGAGCAGGCAAGCATTCACAGTTCTGTGAACAGAGCCAAGTGTGATGAAGCCCACAAGTCCATAGGCCTGAAAAGATAAACCTCAAATCAGGGAGGGAGGAAAGAGCGCCAAATACAACAGGCATGTGGGTCATAACAGTCCCAAAATGTGTTCAACATTTTCACAGAATAGCATCAAGACCCTCAAGTGCTTAGCAAGGCCTACAGGGAAAGTTAAAATGTTGTTTTTAAAGTGAAATGTTGGCTTTATATGTTACAATTTTAAAGGCACAGTCATTGGGTTCAAATCCCAGCTCTGCTACTTGCTAGATCCATGACCTGGACCCATTACTTAAACTCTCTGTATCTCAGTTTCTTAATCCATGAAAGAAGAATGGCAACAACCTGCCTCATAGGATTGTTATGAAGACTGGAGTAGTAACTATGAAGACCCTGGCATACAGTAAGCACTGTAAAGTGTTAGCTATTAAGGTTAGTTTCATGGCTATGGTGCTCTTTGTTAATCACTGTGAAAACAGGAACAGAAAACCCACAGATGTGCAAACACAAAGAGTGCATACCCACAGGGGAATGTTAAGCTGCACTAAACATTAAAGGACTAAACTAAAGAGGCTAAAGGAGCAAAGTTCTTAAAAATGATCATCTACAAGAACAATAGACAAAAATCAGTTGTGTTTCTATACATTGGCAATGAACAGCCTGAAGATGTTGTGAAGAAAACAATTTCACTTACAATAGCATCAAAAAACCCCACTAGGAATCAATTTCATTAACAAAGGGTGAGCCTTGTCCATTAAAAACTAGAGTAATTAGGGGCGCCTGGGTGGCTCAGTCAGTTAAGTGTCCAATTTCGGCTCGGGTCATGATCTCGCTGTTCGTGGGTTCGAGCCCTGTGTCGGGCTCTGTGCTGACAGCCAGCTCAGAGCCTGGAGCCTGTTTCAGATTCTGTGTCTCCCTCTCTCTCTGACCCTCCCTTGCTCATGCTGTCTCTCTCTCAGAAATAAATAAAAAACATTAAAATTTTTTTTAAATACTACAGAAATTAAAGAATAATTGAGAGAAATTAAAGAGGACCTAAGTAAATGGAAAGACATCCTATGTTCATGGGTTGAAAGACTTCATCTTGTTAAGATGGCAATACTTCCTAAACTGGTCTATAGATTCAGTGTGATCCCTATCAAAATCTCAGCCACTTTTTTTTTTTTTTGCAGAAATTATTATTATTATTATTTTATTTATTTCTAAGAGAGAGAGAGACAGCATGAGCAGGGGAGGGTCAGAGAGAGAGGGAGTCACAGACTGAAACAGGCTCCAGGCTCTGAGCTGGCAGTCAGTACAGAGCCCGACACAGGGCTCGAACCCACAAACCGCTAGATCATGACCTAAGCGAAAGTCGGACGCTTAACTGACTAAGCCACCCAGGCGCCCCTTTTTTGCAGAAATTATTAAGCTAATCAGAATTCATATGGAAATGTAAGGTACCCAGGATGACCAGAACAATTGTTAGGGGTGGGTTTGTATCTCCACAAAACGATATGCACAGTTACAACCCCCAGTACTTCAGAATGTGACCTTATTTAAAGACAGGGCCTTTAGAGAGGTGGTCAAGATGATTATAAAGGTAATTATTATAGTGGGCCATAGTCCAATATGACTAGTGTCCTTATGAAAAGGAGCAATTCGGACACAGAGACATGGCACAGAGGGATGACAATGTGAAGACAGAGGGAGAATGCCATGGAATGCCTGATGCAACCTAATAATAATACAGAGGCATGGACTCACAGTACTCAGAAGGAACCAAACCTGCCAACACCTCGATTTCAGACATCAAGCCTCTAAAATGTTGAGACAATTAATTTCTGTTGTTTAAGCCACCCCGACTGTGGTCCCTAGCAAAGTAATGCAGCAATCTTGAAGAACAAAGAAGAGCAAAGTTAGAGGATTCACGCTTCCCCATTTCAAAACTTACTACGAAACTAAAGTAATCAGTATGGTGTGGTACTGGCATAAGGACAGACATATAATTAATCAAATAGAATGGAGAGTCCAGAAATAAACCCTTATGTTTGTGGCCAATGATTTTCAGTAAGGGTGTCAAGACAGTTCAGTAAGAAAAAAAAAGGTTTTTTCAACAACTGATTCAGGAACAGCTGGGTAACCACATGCAAAAGAATCTGTCACTCACACCATATACAAAATTTTATCTTCAAATGAATCATAAACCTAAACATAAGAGCTAAAATTATAAAATTCTTTGAGAAAACTTAGAGGTAAATCTGATAAAGCAATCAATTCTTAGATATTACTCCAACAGGACAAGCAATAAAAGAGAAAATAAATTGTACTTCATAAAAATTCAAGTTATTTGTGTTGGAAAGAATACTATAACAAAATGAAAAGACAACCCACAGCATGGGAAACAAGATTTACAAATCATCTATCTGACAGGGACTTGCATCTAGAGTATATGAGAAACTCTTACAACTCCACAATAAAAAGACAATCCACTTTAAAAATGGGCAAAAGATTTTAATAGACATTTTTCCAAAGAAGATGTAAAAATGGCCAATCATCACATAAAAAGATGCTCAACAGGATAAGTCATTAGGGAAATGCAGATCAAAACCACAGCGAGAGACCATTTCACACCCACTAGGATGACTATAATCAAAATGAGAGCTAATAAGTGTTGTTGAGGATGTGAAGTAACTGAAATCCTCATACATTGCTGGGGGGGATGTGAAATGGTACAGCCACTTTGGAAAACAGGCAGTTCCTCAAATGATTAAACAGAGTTATTATAGGACCCAGCAATTCCACTCCTAGGTGTATAACAAGAGAAATTAAAACACATACTTGCATAAAGCCTTGTACATGAGTGTCCATAGTAGGATTATCCATAATAGCCAAAAAGGTAAAAATGGCCCAAATGCCTATCAACTGATGAATGGATAAACAAAACGTTCTGTAGCCACACAAGGGTCTATTTAGTCATAAAAAAGAATGAATACTGATATGAGCTATAAGATGGAGGAAACTTGAAAACATCGTATTAGGTCAAAGAGGTCAGATACAAAAACTACATATTGTAGGATTCTATTTATTTGAAATGTATAGAATAGGCAAATTCACAGATTTGACAGAGAGCACATTCGTGGCTGCCAGGCCCTGGGGAGGGTGGGATGCAAAGTGACTGCAAATAGGTAGGGGCTGAATTTTAAGGTGATGCAAATGTTCTGAAATCGGATAGTGGTGATGGTCTCAAGACTTTGTGGATATACTAAAGTACTGCAAAGTACTCGGCCAGTGGCAATAAGTAAGAGGTGGAGAGTTCTCCACAAAGGGTATGGATTACTTTCCATGGTTAGAGCTTACACCATGGACGTTTAGTAACCATCTGGTTGGCTGAAAAATCTACAGTTGTGCCCACATGGATAACAAGGAGAGTGAAGATAATTTCTGCATCAGCAAGGAGGTGAATAGCCCCCTGAGCCACCCAGTTACTGAGACACATCTTGCCTACAAAGTCCCAGGTACAGCATTCTGCTCCAGGCAGGCTTCTCCAGGTCTTGGGACAAGACCAGCCAGGTTGATCTTTCTCACTCTTCCACTCATGGCTCTAAGTAGACAGTGTGGGGCCAAGGCCACCTACCAGAGTCCAGGGTACCGTTTCCCCTTTACAGTCATCAGCCATTACACACACGTGCGCACACACACACACACACACACACACACACACACACACGTCTGGCCTGGAAACTTCTATAGGCTTTGTCCTTGAGTGTCAAGATTGCATGAGCCTGTCATCCAGCAAACACCCAAATGTCCCCCTCCTGGGGATCAATTCCAAAGGAATAAATCAAAGGACAAAAGCTGTGGACTAAAAATGTTCACCACCCTCTTAGCTTCAGTTGTAAAACTAGAAAGTGCCTAAGTGCAGAAATTAAGGACTATTATGATTCCTTTTTGGAAGGTTTTGCAGTCATTAAGGTTAATCACTGGGAAGATGGGTAGAAGAAGAGTGTTAGGAAAGATGCTTGGAATGAAAGTATGATGTTAACACTCTGTGTGGGGAGTCCCATATATCTGGAAGGCACTGGGGGACTGGAAGGCACTTGGGCTATGCACTGGCTTGTTGTTGTCTGAAACCTGAAAGTCTCAGGTAATTAGTCTCTCAGACACAGAGTCATATTAACCAGTCTCACAGACCTTGATGTGTAAAGCAGACCCCAAGGCAAGAGTATGCTGTGAATCAGTACTGCCCAGAAGGCTACTTTGTGCAAAAGTTGGTTCCCAGGAAGAAAACATTTGCTTTGGGAAAATTAATCTGCATAACCTTAAGCAAGTCCCTTAAACCTCTCTGAGCTTTACTTTCTCACCTATCAAATGGGAGTGTCACGTCATAGGCTGTGGTGACTACGTTGGGGTAGAAGAGGATTGACTGGGACAGGGCCTTGAAGGACACAACAGCCAGAGGACACTCACCCTGGGGATGAGCCAGCCAAACTCATGATTGTTGACACCCAGGAGGAAGGGCACCGGGTGGAACTTCCTCTCCCTCAAGAGCTCCCTGGGGCTCTTGGGAAAGAAAGCGCCATCGATGGTGTAGGTAGCTGTAGTGTTCTGCAGGAGAAAGCAAGGCAGGGGTCTTCCCAGTCAGGCCCATGCCTTAAAAGATGGCATCCCAGGGTTCACCTGGCTGCATTCCTGGGTGGCTGAGCCTTACAGGGGATAGAGGTCACCAGGGTTAGAGGACCCAGGGGAAATAGGGAGGCCTCTTCCCTAGAAGACAGGGCCTGCCCTCGGGGCAGGGGTGGTTCTGCATTCATGGCCCCAGGCCAGGTCCGGCCCTCAGCCCTTTCCCATCAGTGGTGGCTGCCCCAAGCCTCACCCCAGACTGCTGATTGCCTCTCTGCTCTCACAGGAACTGGACAGGACCCCTCTGTGCCATTGCCTGTCCCCCAAGAGGTAGGCATACCAACTTCATGTTAAGGATCTGCTCCTTGTTTGGCTTCTCCCGAAGGCACTGCAACATCTCAGCCGAGGAGGTAGAGCTGCAGCCCACGGAGTCCACAAAGCTCTGGGGACAGATAAGAATCTTGCCTCTCCCTCACTCCTCACCCCTCACCTTCCAGCCCTCTGCCTCCCATAGAGAAGAGGTACATCCATAAGGAAGATGGGACAGTGATGTCAGAGATGGGAACTTGGGATTGACCAGAGAACTTCCACCGACCCACCAGCTTGGGTGGTTCCCAGGCACCTTGTGTGTCCCCCATTACATAATAGTGTCATTATTTTTTTTTTAATTTTTTTTTTTCATAATAGTGTCATTATTTGTGTGGGTAGCCGAGTCCCCTTTACCACTCTGAGAACAGTGTCATTAACTAGTTAATTATATTCCCAGACCAAGAGGGCTCAGGAAAGTTTTGCCAGAGTGAATATGGAAATGAGATAGGGTTCAGAGAGACTGGTTCACATGGCCAGTGTGGCAGGAAGGGGATGACAGTGGGTGCTGAGGCCTGAGCAGGGTTTGGGAGTCAGTGCAAAGTGAGGCTGGAGGTACGGGTTCCCGAATCGTTTTGTGCCCTGGTGGCATTGGTGGTTTTCTCTGAGATTCCATAGGCCGTATGCTTCTTGCATCTCTGTTAACAAGGGGCTCCCTGCCAGTGACACTCACTCTGAGACATCAGGACAAGCACAGGGGTGGGGGGTGTGGTAGGTACATTTCGGGTAAGAGGACGAAAGACAGGCAGACCTGAGCCAGGAGCCTTGGGTCAGAAGCCTGTAACCCGGGAATGGTGATGACTCCGCTCTGTGCTATGGCTCTGTGGAATAGCCCTGCAGCCAGCGGGGACAGGACCTGGAAGCAGTGTAGAGGACAGACGGCTGTCAGATGAGGGCAGAAGAGCTGGGAGGTCTGGGACCGTAGGAGATACTGTTGCTAGCCCCCTGGGGTGACTCACCAGGGCAGAGACGATGCTGGCACCGGCAGAATTGCCAAAGATGGTGACAGAGTTGAAGTCACCTCCAAAGGGGGAGATGTTCCCCTGCACCCAGTGCAGAGCAGCCACCACATCTAGGAAGCCCCAGTTGCCAGGTGCGTGCTCATCTCCAGTGCTGGATGCGGGGCACAGTGGGGCAGTGGTTAGTGCAGGCTGGCTCCCCTCACAGACGGTCCTCAGACCTTGCAGGTTGGCCCTGAAGCAGCCACCAGGACAGCAGACCCTTCCCCGTTTCCCAAGTCTGGCCTGGCTATGAGGCATGCTTCCTAGCCACATGCCCAGCACATGGTATGGGTGGGTCCAGTTGGGCAGCTGGCTAGGGCTGGTTCTCAAGTGCCTGCCAGAGCTTGTTTCTCCTTGCCTCCAGTGCTTGCTGGGATCCTAGCCCCAGACCAGGAGCCAACACTTTCAGTCCAAAGGACCAAGCTCTCTGTATAATTCTGGCTCTGGTCGAGCCCTTCTTCAGGGTGGAGCAATGGGGAGCCTCCTTCCCTACCCCAGATGGCATGGGGGAGGGGCCCTTGGTCTCCAGCCACTCTGCTTGCCTGAGAAATCTGCATTCAATCTCTGGACCTCCACCCTAGTTCCCCAACTCCCCTCACAAGCTCCTCTCCCCAGTGCCAGCAGCGCCCTCCACCAAGCCGGTCACCTTACCTGAGGAAGCCAAGGAGCCCCAGGCGGTACTGGATCATGACCACGACCACATCTCCATAGGCAGCCAGGGCGGACCCGTCTTGAGAGGTGGCAGCACCGCTCACCAGAGTGCCCCCATGGATCCATACCATAACCTGCAGAGAAGCCATGGGGTAGTGACCCCCAGCTCCTGGGACTTCAACTTGGAGCATTCCTGGGAATCCCGCCTCAGGCAGTACGGGAACAGGGCTGGAGAGAGGATGGGCAGGGTGGAACTGGATGGGCAAACAGGGCCCCCTGGGCTGCACACCGGCCGCCTGGCCCCCGCAGTGGCCTCAGCTGGGCTGTAGATGTTGAGGATCAGGCAGTCCTCTGAAAGAGGGAAGTGCTGGAGCTTTCCATTCAACACAAATCTGCTGTTGTCCATTCTCTCCAGATCCTGCAGGCACCTGTGGCCAAGGATGAACCCAAGGGCCAGTGGGTCAGCCCACCAGCCCTGACATCGAGACCCTGGCAACCTGCCTGCTTGCCCGCCTCCACCGTGGCTACTCACATGGCAGGGGCCGTGCTGGCATCCCGCACACCCTCCCAGGACTGCGCTGGGCGCGGGGCTGAGAATCGGCCAGGCCCCACAGGTGCCTCGGCGAATGGGATGCCCAGGAAGACATTCACAAGGCGGTCTGTGCCCTTCACGCCCACCTGCCGGCCTCGCACACGGCCCAGGGAGGTGTCCACTTCAGGCTGAGTGACCTCAGTCCCTGAGAGCAGGACAGAGGGCCATGGAGTGGCAAGTGAATTCACTAAACACTGGCTCTCTCAGCACCGACTCTATGAGCCCTGTTTTGAGGTCTTTGATCACAACGCTCGGACTAACCTTCCCAGTAAGCCCATGAGATGGGCCCTATGATTACCTCCCACTTTCTCCTCCTGCCTTGGCATGGCTACCATTTTCCTCTAGGCCAGACCAGTCCCCTGAGGGAGGCTCTCTCAGGACCCACAGACCCGCTGTGGGGCTTTGCTTGGGCTAGCCATTCAACCTCAGATTCCTCATCTGCTAAATTAAGTGCAATAACCATGTCTGTTCATTTTCTTTATTTTGAGGTTTTGACAGAGGGGAGTCTTGCAGACTCTGGATGGACTGTGGGCTCCAGGGCTAGCCAATTCCTAGAGGTAACAGTGAGTAAACAACTCATTGAGAGGTGTACCTTTCCGAGGCAAACCAACCAATCCAGAGCCCATGCCCCCAGCCACCTACTGTGAGGACTTCTCAGACTCTCCACCACTAACTGCCCTAATCACCCGAGGGCCAGGTACCACACAGCTAGGAACAGCCCTATGCCCTAGAGCCCACTGAAAATCTTCAAATGAGCCAATTTGAAGCCTTGCCTGTTCTTTCTCTGGGAAACAACAAAGGCTCTTGCCAACAGAGCCTCCTGACAGACCCCATGCTTCCCTGCATGCCTCTTGTTTCTAGGAACTGTGAGTAAGCCTCTTCTCATGACAGTGACTTCTGTGTCTATCTTAGTGATTACATGAATCCTGGGTGCCCTTAAAACATAAGGACAATCATGTTCTCTGGAGATCTCACACACACACACACACACACACACACACACACACACACACACACGACAGCAAGGACAGAACTCCTGCCTGGGAAGCTGTACAACCCCTGGCATTCTTGGAACTGAGGGCTCCTTCTCAGAGGCTGCCCAGCCCTCCCTGCCCCTACCTCGCTCTTGCCGTCTACTCTAGTCTTCCCATTAACCCTGAGGCTCCCAGCTCTGCAGGCCCTGCTGGTGTGTCTTACCAGTGGCTGTAGCAGGGAATGCCAGGAGCAGACAGGCCACCCAGCCCAGGACCTTGGACCCAGTTCTTACCACTGTCCCCATGCCCCTCACAACTGACTGTGGACAGAAGCTGTGCAAGGTAAAATAAAGCCCCTGTTGTTTGGTACAACCAATCTCTAAAGGGCTGTGTTATAAATACCTCAGTGGACTGCCTCCTCTGGCTGGTGGCCAGCCCTAACATGCAATGCTTAGTGCCTAGGCGGGGGGAGGATGGCTCAGAGAGTGCCCTGCAGGGCTGTGGATGATGTGACAATCCCAGGGAAGGGAAAGAGCTGGGGCTGTGGAGCTCTGCAGCCCTGCGTTCAAATACCAGCTCTCCTGACTCAGTGAACCCAGTATACCCAGGGTATATTTTGGGGGTGACTTTCTCATGTGGGCCTACTCTCTTGAGGCTCCTCAAGTGACAGGGCAGAAACGGAGCACTGCCCTCAAGAGGCCCTTGGGCTCCTGGGCAGGAGGAGTTGAGTTATGTAGGTAGAGCTAATGGAGGAAGAGGAGCAGGAAGATTCTTATTCACAACTGCTATCCTATTCCATATCCCTGGAAGATGTGATTTAAGAGCCAGATCTCCTGCTTTCAAATCCCAGCTCTGCCAGGTGCTGACTCTGGGTCTAATTTCATTATCCATAAAAGAGTGCTGATAATAGGAACCATCTCACAGGGTTGAAGTGAGGTTACATGTGTGAAAACACAAGGCACAGAACCAGAGCCAGTGGAAGCCTGTTCTTGCCTCAGGGCAGGGGTCTGTCAGGGTGTCTGTCTCTCTGGGACAGCCCCTATCCTACATAAGGGCAGGACTCTCCTCTGGGCCTGAGTGTCAGAAGCATGGCTGGCTGGGGGGTTGGGATGGTGGGGAGTGTGAGGCACTGGCAAATATTTACTAATTCAAACAGAAATACTGGCTCAGTGAGGAATGGGGCGAGGGTCATGTCTAGAGATGCCAGATTCTGTCCTGGGGTTCCAGCTAGCATTCAGAGCTGGAGAGTCCTAGGATCCAACTTCCCTCTATGAAAAATAACCAGTGCACCTTCCTGGATTGTCTTTGGCAACCTCCCAGGTGGAGGCTGTCCCTCCCTCTGAACTTTGATCCATAGGTACATGCAGGAGAGAGCGAGCAAGGAGGGGAGAGAGACAAAGACAGAGACAGGGACAAGAGATAGAGAAAGACACGGAAACAGGGAACCAACCACAGTAAGATAACACTATGCACCTGCTAAAATTAATCAAATGTACAAGACTGATAAGACCAACTGTTGCCAGGGCTATGGAGCAATGAGAACTCTCATTGATGGCTGGTGGGGTACAAAAATGGGATAGTCACTTTAGAAGACAGTTTAGCATTTTCTTTAAAAATTAAACATGTACTTGCCATATAACCCAGCAATTCTACTCTCAGCTATTTACCCCAAAGAAATGAAAACATATGTCCACACAAAGACTTGTTTGAAAATGGTCACAGGAACTTTATTAAAACTAGCAAAAGAAAAGAAATCACTGAAATGCCTATCAATAGAAAGAAATTCGGTGGTTGTGTGGGGCTAGGGTCAGGACAGGGATTGACTGCAAAGGAGCACGAAGGGACTCTTAGGAGCAATAGAAGCATTCTAAGACTTGATGGGATGGTGGTTGTATGTCTCATATATTTAGCCAAATTTGTGAAACGGTACACCTGAAGTGGGTGAATTTAGTTGTGTGTAAATTATTCCACAATAAAGCTGTTAAAAAATAAGATGATTAAAAAACTAGTACTGGGGGGCGCCTGGGTGGCTCAGTCGGTTAAGCGTCCGACTTCGCCTCAGGTCATGATCTCACGGTTCGGTTTGTGTGTTTGAGGTTTCAAGCGCCGTGTCGGGCTCTGTGCTGACAGCTAGCTCAGAGCCTGGAGCCTGTTTCAGACTCTGTATCTCTCTCTCTCTCTCTGACCCTCCCCTGCTCACACTGTCTCTCTTTCTCTCTCAGAAATAAATAAAACATTAAAAAAAAATTTTTTTTAAACAACTGGTACTGGGAACCCACCTTTAGAAAGCATATTGTGTGTCTGCAGGGCTGAAAAACATACAGAGGCATGCATGCTGTGGGTGTTCAATAAGTGCTTTCAGGATGCAAGAGAAGCATTATGCACCAGTCAGCATTTACTAAAAGGAAAGCCCATTCCCTCTCCCTAGTTTAAGACAGCCCAGGCTTAAGGTTATCCTTGTCTGTTATCTGGTGGCTGCTCTGAAGCCTTCAGGCCCCATTTCATGAGCCTCTATGGTTGGGCTTAAATGTAGTGGAGGGAAAGAAGGGGAACTTCCCTGCTGGAAAATCTAGTGTGTGGAGAGAGTAAGTTGGTCAGAGGTAGGGGCATAGCAGGACCCCCAGGTCCATGAGAAGAGGGATACAGCCTCTTAGTGACAGAGAAAAAGTGCTTTGGTGGAACAAAGAGGCAGAGTGAACATAATTTGGTATCTTTGCATGCTGAGATCAAACACTATATAACACAGGGTTTCTTTTGGGGGTGGGGGAAAGAAAAGTTTAGGGGAAGCAATGGGGTAAGCAGGAAAAATAATCATGGGGATGCTCAAAGTGTGTTGGGGGCTGTTCAATGGGGGGGTGTGTTTTGCAAGGAGAATTCCAAAAGGTAAGAGGAGCCTTCCTTGGATGGCGAGGCCTTTGGAAGTCAGGATTACAAGAGTCTCTTCTCCCGGGCTTTCTGGCCTCTCAATCTTACTTCCAGGAAACATATCACAGATAAACATTTTCCTTCATGGATGTGCTACAATCCTGTAAAGTTTGGGTGTCACAGTACCACTGAGAATAAAGGCAAATTTTGGGAGGCAGGTGGCTGAGGGACCCGCCCGGTTCTCCCAGACACTGCACAGCTGGCCCAGGCTCTGGGGGCCCGTGGAAAAGCTCAGGTCTTCTTCTTACAAAAAATGGAGTTGGTCACCTCGGTGGGCCACTGATAAGTGAGTGAGTGGGTGAGTTTATTTATTTATTTTTTATTTATTTTTATTTATTTTTAAGATAGAGAGAGACAGAGCATGAAGCAGTGGAGGGGCAGAAAGAAAGGGAGACATAGAATTTGAAGCAGGCTCCAGGCTCCGAGCTGTCAGCACAGAGCCTGATGCGGGGCTCAAACTCACTAACCGTAAGATCATGACCTGAGCTGAAGTCGGACACTTAACTGACTGAGCCACCCAGGCGCCCTGAGTGTTGTGTTTAAATGTCAGTGATAGATGACATATAGTCTAGGGGATAATGATGGGGACAGGGACTTTTACATTCTCAGTAAAAGCCTCGGTGGTCAAGATATCAGAGCCCCTGGGCTCCTGGCATCCAGATTTTCTACTGACTACCTACAGACAGGAGAGCATGGGGGGGCATGTTGAGAGCCAGGTGTGGGTAACATTTCCCAAAGCATCCTCCTTCAAAGGGAGAGGAGAGGGAGGGTGGGGACGAGGTAGAGGTGAGGAAGAGGGGGTGGGGCCCCAGGCTCAGTGGGGTTTGCGCTTCCATTGGGGTTTGCCCATTCATGGCTTTATTGGGGGATTCACTGAGTATGTCTAACATGAGAGGATGTACAGCAGGGGCTTGGCAAGTAACATTATGCAGTAGGCCCTTAATAAATGTTTGCGGGCAGGCTGGCTGGAAGCATGCATGAATGGCTATGTGAATGAAGGAAAGAAACTACTAGCTCCTCAGTACATATGTGGGGGCACATCTGGCAGACCCCCCCACTTGCATTCAAGCTTACCCCTTCACCCCCTGACCCCCAGACACAGGAAGTTACAGCTCTGTGTGCTTCTCCTCCACCTCCATTAGTTCCTGTATCTTCGTCCAGAACTGGAGCCTGTGGGCCTTCAGGGCTCGGCTCACCGTAGGCTGCAAGTTCAGCTGCAAGTATTGCTCTTCTTGGTCGAACATGGGCCAGTGGGGCAGACCCTTGCCATTGGGGTGCCTGTAGACATGTCACTCTGAGCCCTGCTGAGCCCAGACCTGGCACCCCAACTGGAGTCAGGCAAGGCACCAAACAGGCTGAGTGGGCTTGGGGAATGACGGGGACATTTCTAGACTTAGGAAAGAAACTACCTCCCATTAGTGTCAGCTCCACCAGGGGACAGGGCAACCTGGGCTGTTTTTTCCCTTCCCGTCAGAGAGCGGCTCTGCGGGTAATGTGGCACTGTCACCCTCTCTTCCAGGTCACCTGGAGATGGACTGAGTGCTCGGCACCCATGAGGTCCCTCCCTGTTTGTGTGGGTCCTGGAGCTAGGGAAGGAACCACCATGTAATTAAGGATACCTGTAAGCTAATAAGGCACAACAGAAAAGGGGGACCCTGAATGGGTTCAAGCCCCCACGGCCCCTAGAGGTTGAGGTGGGTATGACATCTCACCCATTTCGAGCGAAGTTAGCCCAGTACTTCATCATCTTCTTGCTAAACAGCTCTTCTTCCTCAGTGACTTCAAGTACAGCGAGCAAGAGGACAAGGGTCCAGGTGAGCGCCAAGCCCAGTCCAGCGCACGGGTCAGCCCCCACCTCGCTCGCCAGCCCGAGTGCAGCCTTTAACTGGCTGCAGCCCTGCCCTCCCAGGCATGTCTCTCTGCCCACTCCCCCCACAGCCCTTGGGAACCAGGCCCTCTCCCCACCCAAACTAGGCTCCCCTCTGTCCTAGGAGTCTCCCTTCTTCCTTCTGACACTGCAAAATCATTTAAGGAACAAATATGCCTTCCAAACACCCTACTCTGCACCCATGCCAGGCATCCATGGTTGAGGTGGGGAGAGGTGGAGGGAGAGAAGGCCCCAACCAGCCTTTCTATCTGTAAGATCTTGGGGCCTGAGTCTGTCCTCTCTCTCCTCTCTGCAGTGAGGGCTATCAGCCTCACTCAGGGACCCAGCCAAGGCCTGCATTCTGAGAATGAGGAGTCTATGCGGGACCCTGCCCAGGAACACTCACCACTGTAGCCTTTCTGGAAGGCAGTTCCAAAGACAAAGAATATCTCATCACCATGGTCTGCCCTCACGTGGGGCGGCTTGATGTCCTTGAAGAAGCTGGGCCGATGCTGGAACTCATAGAAGTAGACAGGGGCATGCACACCTAGGGGTTGGAGTTGGACAGGCCATGATATGGCTGTCCCTTCCCTGGGGCTGTCCTGCATTACCATGGTGACAAGATAGATGGGTCCAATGCTGGTTGGAATCAACAATGGGGTGAGGGAGCTGCTGGGAAGGACCTGGGTTCAAATTGTGACCTGGGCTCAAATTGTGTATGGTTTTAGGTAAGTCACTGAAGGTCACTGAACCTGTTTCCTCATCTGTAAAATGGGAAAAATATCTGTCTGTTAGATTAGCCATGAGGATTTACTGAAACAAGGGACATCATGTGCCTGGCACCTAGGGGCCCAATTAATAGACATGGGTTGGGATCTGGACACCAGTAGACCCTGCCAAGGACCTACAGCTTCGAGCTTCCCCCTTACTGGTCTGGCCTTAGTTACAGATATACTCACGCTGAAAATTGGCTACTTGGAGTGCAGGGATCACGAACATAATGTCTCCAATCATCTCATGGAACTGGACCTGAAGGGTATGTGGGTCCGCACTGTCCCCTATGTACTCCTCCATCAATAGGTCAACAGACTCAGGAGGCAACACCTATCCCAGGTGGATCAGAAATAGTCAGGTTAGGCAGGCTGGTGGCAGCAGGGAGGCAGCTGGATTCGGGCTGGGGAGACCCACCCTGGGATGGTATAGGGAATGGAAGGAAAGGGCCTAGCACAAGGGGGACCCCTCCCTTTGCTCATGGGAGACAATGCATGGACATGATATCTTGGAGATAGGTCTCCTCTGCCTCCGGACTGGAATAAAGTCCCTCTTCATGGGGGCAGGACCCCAGAAGCCTCACCAACAATGCCAACATATTCTGCAGAGTAGCCTTCACAGTCTCTCTGTCCATTTCCTTCTGGTTGTCAGAGATGGCAAAGGCCTGGGTAGTGGGAGAATCTTAAGCTGAAGATAGGATGGGCCTAGATAGAACTATAAGCCCAGAACCCTGTCCCCCAAAGGTCTCCTGGCATCTGGGAACTTGGGGCTGAGCCTCACCTAGGGGATGAGCCAACCGTACTCATCGTTGTTGACACCGATAATGCAGGGGACAAGCTGAAAGTCAGCGGAGGCCAGCAGTTCCTGGGGGTGCCTGGGCAGGAAGGTCCCATCCACCATGCCAGGGATGATCCTGAAGTGCTGAGAGGGCCCACAAAGTCAGGTCCCATTTTCTGATCCCTTCTGAGTCCCATTTACCCCTTCACAGCTCATCTGGGACACCCATACCCCCTCTCTAGGAGGTCCTAGAGCTGGCTTAACATGGCCTGGCCTCAACTTCCTGCTCAAGGCTGCGAGGACAGCAATGTGTGAGATGGGATAACTTGCCCAGAGAATGTAAAGGATGGGCTCCCCACACCTGTCAGTCCTTTCCCTTTATACACGTGTCCACTCAGCCCAACCTCATTAATGGCAAGAATCTCCTCTTCACTCTTGTCCCGCAGACATTTCACCAGTGCCTCTGAGTCAGTCTGGCCACAGGCAGATATGTTGGCCACCATCTGTAAGGAGACCAGGCAGGGGCTGGCTCATGCTTTCAGGCAAGGGAGAATGATTTGCCCCAGGTTCCAGCTGGGGGCAGGTATACCACAAATCTCTCAGATATTATGTGTGGATTCAGAGGTCTTCGCCAGAAGGGCCAGCCCACCTGCCTAGATGGTCCTGCCCACAATGGGGCCCCTAGGGCAGCAGTTTTGTGGGCCATAGAACATGCTCAGCCTTTGTGATGGCAGAGGTCTGTGGATTCTGATCCCTTAGCCCCTCAGCAATCCCCTGAGAGATGGCAGTTTCCCAGGTGCTCTGATGGCAGGGTAGTCCTTGTCCTCATTTAACAGAGTAATGGAGGCTGAGAGATAAGAGATGAGGCAGCTTCCCACAGTTGGGGTTACTCACCATGGAGACCGCATCAGATGAGTTAGCAATGAGGCTAGGCAACAGGGCCACACCACTCTCCATGATGGCACCGTGGAAGAGTCCTTTGGACATGGGGGACACGACATGTGAGGACACACTTGTGCCACCTGCAGACTCGCCAAAAATGGTGACACGGCCAGGGTCTCCTCCAAAATAGGCAATGTTTTGCTGGACCCAGCGTAGTGCAGCCACTTGATCCAGGTAGCCCCAGTTGCCAGTTGCATGCTTGTCTCCAGTGCTGAGAATGGCAGGGACAGGGATCATGGGTTGTCCTGGGTTCACTTAGCCGGCATTGCCCTGCCTAACCCCAGTCTCACCTGAAGAAGCCTAGTACACCCAGGCGATACTGGATTATGACCACCACCACGTCCTCAAAGGCCGCCAGTGCAGAGCCATCATACATGGAAGCCATGCCGATTACAAGCCCACCCCCGTGGATCCACACCAGCACCTGGAGAAATTAAAGCACAGACACCGTGTGGCTTCCAGCCAGCCCAAACCCCACTGGGGCCACTGCCTAGATTAACCACCACTTTGGCTCTGTCTGCCTCACCACATAGATAGAACTCAGGCAGGACAGGGTGGCATCTTCATGACCTGGGCTGAAGGTGACCCAATTTCTATCAGCAAAACTTGGCCTCATCCCACATATACATTAATTAAAAGTTTCTCCACTCTCAGGGTGCCTGGGTGGCTCAGTTTAATGTCTGACTCTTGATTTCAGCTCAGGTCATGATCTTGGCAGTTTGTGGGTTCAGGCCCCGCATTGGGCTCTGCATTGATAGTGCAGAGCCTGCTTGGGATTCTCTCTCTCTCTCTCTCTCTCTCTCTCTCTCTCATAACTAAATAGACAAATAAAAAAAGTTTCTCCATTCTCATAGATCAATGGATATAGCACCTGAGTGGGTCTCCTGGGCATGAGTTAGTTGGGTGAGCCCAGGACCACAGCTTCTGACTTCCAGGAGCAGTCAGCATTCTATGGCCCCATGCCCAAGGGTCAGCCCTTCATGTTGGGTATGAAGCACTCCCTTGGACCCACTAGTGAGAGGCTTCTCAACAGGGTTCACACTGCAACATGGCCAGTCTTGATCTTGTTCTTTCTAATCTTCTTGCAGAAGAAATATCCTCCCACACCCCAGCTGGCTGGGGCTTGGCACTCACAGGCAGATTGGAGCCTTCCCTGGCATGGACTGGTGTATAAATATTGAGGTACAGGCAGTCTTCAGACGTGGAGGTGGAAGGCAAGGTCACATTCAGCAGTTTCAGAGCCACTCCTTTTGAGAGAGTGATGTTCTGCAGACACCTAGTGGGGCCATACCATAGTCAAGACCAGATCCTGGGCCTGGATTTGCACCCTGCCTCCCTCAGTCCCACGTCCCCCAAGAACTTGCTCATACATGGTCTTCCCCTAAAACCCTTCTGCACCAAGTTACAAGCCACAGGCTCTGGGGAAGCTGTGATTGAGGCCAGTCTTCCAGAGAGGCCTCAAGGTTATAAGGGCCTTGGATACCAGTCCTCCCAAGGCTGGGAAATCTTGACTTTTGGGGGTCTCTGTGAGAGCCATGGGTTGCATGTGTTGACATTCACCACTGTCTCCTGTACTCAGACAGGCTGGGAACAGAGGAGTAGCCCACATGTGTGCTGCCTGCTTGAATGGATATTAATTTCTCATGAGAAGAGCAGTGGGACATCCCTCATCTCAAGTCAGACTGTCAGGGAACCTCATCACTCCCACATGGTTCTCAGTTGCAAGAACATACACATGCCCTTTGGCCAATGGCAGCTGGCCCTGTCACTGGCACAGTAACTGCACACAGTGGGGGTCCTCCACTCCTCAGGGATCTATAGTATCTGCTGCTGGAGTCAGGGGTTCCTACAGTGTTCAAGGAGCCAATGCAACCTCTCCTGGAGACACTTTCCCTGATGGCAGAGAATACTTGACGTAACCAGGACCTAGGCAGATCTGTATCTCTGCTCATCCCTTCAGCACTTGGAGCTAATGCCCTTTAAGTGCCAACCCCTGAGCCTGGGAAAGTTACTTTGCCCTTCCTTGCTCATGGAAAAAATGCATGTGGGGATCCATCAAACTCAGAGGGGAGATTGGCTGTGAAGGCTTAGATGAAATGACAACTGCATCCTGGCCCAGAGTACCCTCCACCCCAGAGACTGGAGTTCCTTGGACTTCCTGCTTACACGGCTGGGTGGAAGGTCCCATCCTTTACACCACTCCAAGATTCAGGGGGTTCAGGGGGTGCAAATCGCAGTGGCCCTAGAGGCGGCTTAGCAAAGGGAATTCCCAGGAAGGTGTGGACCCCCACATCAGTGCCTTTCACGTGGACGAGGCTCCCCCGCACCTGCCCCGTGTGTGTGGTCCGGATGGGGCTGACAGCGTCCTGGCCTGTGAACAGAGAAGTGGACATCAGGATTGAGTCTACCAATTAGTTGCCCTCCCAAGCTACCGAGGCTGCTTCAGCCTGTCTTCAGCCATGGGACTCTGATCTACAAACACTTGCTTTACAAATTTCCTGCCTTTAGCCTTTGTGTGTCTACCCTCCCCGCAACTCCTGCCCATCCCCCCTCCCCACTGTCCTTGCTGGGTCTGGCCCCAGCCTCTTCTACCACACTCACTGAGGCTTCTTGGAACTTGGCACCGTGGTTTAGCTCCAGGAGCTTCAAGCAACGGTCACATTAAGGTTGAAGGGGTGAGAGTGTCCTTTCTGCCAACAGTGTGGGTCATATGAGGCAGTAGAACTGTGACAGTTGGACACTCAGGCTCCTGTGCTTAGGGATCTCATGCTCTAGGTGTCAAGAAATGACGTAAAGAAAGCATCCTTCAAACAGGGGCACCTGGGTGGCTCACTCAGTTAAATATCCAACTTCAGCTCAGGTCATAGTCTCATGGTTTGTGAGATCAAGCCCTGCATCGGGCTCTCTGCTATCAGCACAGAGCTCTCTTCAGATCCACTGTCCTCCCCCCCACCCAACCGCTTCTCTGCCCCTCCCCTGCTCGTTCTTTCTCTCTCCCTCTCTCTCAAAAAAAAAAAAAAAAAGCATCCTTCAAACAAAGTACTGATGTTATGAGGAGAGGACAACCTGTCCTACTATGGGGATCAGGGACAGAGGAAGTGACTGAAAGTTACCTAACACAAGGGGCCAAGCTGATATTCTTTTTTTTTTTTTTAAATATATATATAAATGTTCATTTTTGAGAGAGAGATAGAGTTTGTGAGCAGGAAAGAGGCAGAGAGAGAGGGGCACAGAGGATCCGAAGCAGGCTGAAGCCGGACATTCAACTGACTAAGGCTACCCAGGTGCCCCCAAGCTGATATTCTTAACACACCCAAAGAATTTCTACAAATGAGTAAGAAATATGCCAGCTGCTCGTATTTGGTGAAAGCATAGGAAATGGTAAGACAATATATTCAGAGAGTAAGGAATACAAAGAAATGGCTCATACACCCATGAAGAAATGTTCACCTCAATCATGCTAAGAGAAATGTTCATTGAAATCTCACTGTGATGTCAATAACTTACTTTGTCACAGAAAGCAAGATAATCAGACAATGTATGTTTTCTACTGGAGGTCCATAGCACTACGTGAAGTAGTCTTGCCCCAAAGCATAAAGCAGAATGTAAAATTTAAATCTGGTCAAGCCTTGAGAATATAAATGTATGAATACAAGTTGACAAGCATACTGCAGAAGAAGAAACAGTTAAAAGACACCATACAGATATAATTAGTGAAGGTCAAACTCTAGGATCCTCTTCAGAACAACTAAATTGGTTTCTTCAATATAACAGTGAAATTACAAGGAAAATAAAAGAAAGGCAGAGGAAGATGCTGAAGCTTAAAAGAGATTCACATAAAGAAACGGATAATGGGGCTCCTCACTGGCCCAGTCAGAGGAACATACGACTCTTTATCTTGGGGTCATGAGTTCAAGCCCCGTGTGGAGTATAGAGATTACTCAAATAAATACAACTTTTTTTTTTTTTAAAGACTGATAATAACAAACGTTGGTAAGGATGTGGAAAAACTGGAACCTTCACACATTGCTGGTGAGGAGGTAAAGTGGTGTAGATGTTTTGGAAAACAATCTGGCAATACTTCAAAGAGTGAAACATTGAGTTACCATAAGACCCAGCAATTCTACTCCTAGGTATAAACCCAAGAGAATTGAAGACATATGTCCACAGAAAAACTTGCGCATGAATGCTCTTAGCAGGATTATTTATAATAGCCAAAAAGTGGAAACAGTCCAAAAGTCCATCAGCTGTTCAATGGATCGATAAAATGTATCATATCTATACACTAGAATATCATTCCAGCAATACAAAGAAAAAAGGACTGAACATGCTACAGCATGGATGAACCCTGAAAACCTCATGCTCAGTGAAAAAATTCAGCCACAAAGGATCACATATTGGATGCTTTCAGTTATACAAAACGCCAAGAATTGGCATATCCATAGAGACCTAAAGCAGATTGGTGCTTGCCGAGGGCTCAAGTTGGGGGAAAGGAGGAATTGATGTGGTGAACTCTGTGAATATACTCAAAACCATTGAACTGTACACTTGAAATGGGTGAATGGTATGCTATGTGAATCATGTCTCAACACTGTTATAAGAAACACATCTACAAATTTCCAAAGTATGGACCTTATTTGAATCCTGGTTTTTAAAAAATCTGTAAGTACTATTTATGAGATAATACAAAGTAAGAACATTTGGCTAGATACTTGATTGCATTAAGAAATCATGACATTGAGGCTCAGTTGTTAAAGCATGTGACTCTTGACCTCAGGGTTATGAGTCTGAGCCTCACGTTGGGCATAGAGATTATACCCAGAGATTATTTAAAAATAAAATCTTGGGTATCCTGGGTGGCTCAATCGGTTAAGCATCTGACTTCGGCTCAGGTCATGGTCTCGTGGGTTGTGAGTTTGAGCCATGTGTCAAGCTCTGTGCTGACAGCTCAGCGCCTGGAGCCTGCTTCAGAATTCTGTGTCTCCCTCTCTCTCTGTCCCTCCTCTGCTCACGCTCTGTCTCTCTCTCTCAAAAATAAAACATTTTTAAAAAGACAAAAAACTTAAAAAATCTTAAAAAAATAAATCATGATATTGGTGTATGTCTATATATTTCTTTTAATAGGAGATTAAAAATCTATACATGATATAATATCTGGGATTTGCTTTTATTTGAAGAAAATAAAAGGAGAGGTGCAAAGGAGAGGTGGTAGTCTAGACAAAACCAGGTTGCTCAGGTCTCAATAATTGTTGAAGGTAGATTATGGATACAGCAGATCTGTTAGATTATTCTACCACAGACTGGAAGCCGTTTGATGCTGTGTGGCTGACGGCAGCCCCCAGACCTTGGGGTGCAGGGAGGTATCCAGTCAGGCTTCCCGTTCTCCTGGTGTTAACTTCACTGGCTCCTGACTTCCTGGAGCTTCCCCTACTGCAGGTTCAGGTTCTGCTTCTGCAGAATTTGGCCAGTCTGAGCCTGGTTCCATAATCAAAAGAAAAAAACAAAACCCCTAAACAACCCCAGGGATCTATATCACCTACAGATCAGAGACAACAGGGGATAGAGGCCTTAAAGGTGGACCCAGAAACTGAGTCCTGAAAGCAAGGAGGAGCTTTTCAGGATGGGCAGTCACACTTCCCTGCCTTTCCTCATGCCCTTCCCTTCACTCTGAACAAAGGTCATTCCCATTTCTCCATCTGTGGCAATCCTGACCATGCACCTCCTCCAGGAAGCTCTCCTGGGTTCCTCCATCACAGCTCAATGCTTCTACTCTTGAGCCCCCAACACCCTTATCAAAGAGTGAAAGGACACTCTTTCATAACGACAGTGAATGCAGTGACTTCAGGTTTGAGGACAGGGTTGTTGGTATTGTGGAGGATGCCCAAGGGGGCCTGGGCCGAGGGGAAGTGGCCATGCCAGTGCCTGCCCATCACTGATTTTTGCATGTTCACTCAGGTTCTCCCGCCAGAACCACCTTTCCCTTCCCACCCTGCCTGCCTACCTACCCCCTGCCCAGATCACCTATCAGATCAACATGGATCAATATGCTTGATGCCGTATCGTGTGGATAAGGCCAGAGTCAGCACTCACAGGTGCCACTGAGGGCAACTGAGCAATGTTTTTCCAACCAAAGGCCCACCCCTCTCCCCAGTAACATGCTGCCTGCAAACATTTCCTTGCCAGGTGAGCTATCTGTCCATGTAATTCACTGAGGTCACTGGCCTCCAACGGCTGAAGGTTGTTATAGCAAAGGATGCAATGTTGAAATGTCCCTGATCAGAGGCCAATTACATCAAGGATCCTTGAAGAGAAACCGTTCCGTGAAACAGTATGAGGAAGCACTACCATGTATAGGCATAGGGAGTTCATCCCCTGTGTCAGGAAATAGGAAAGCTGGGTGCCAGAAAGGGAGGGCGTTTGTGGCCATTTATGTGAAAACCAAGGATGTGTGCATACATCCATTCTTCAGTAAACTCCTGAGCAGTGTGTAAAACCCCTGGGGACCTTGAAGGAGCCAGAACGGGATGGGACAGGAAAGGGTCCGACATGTCATCTGTGCCCTTTTATGGCTTGTCTATTATTTCTTTTTGAAAGTGGGTCCAATCCAAAATATTAACATTTTTAAAGGGAGGTGTCAGCAACACCTAGCAAATCATCCTGCTGGAAGGTCTTGGTGACCTCTGAGAGCCTGGAGAACAGCTGGTAAGGGTAGAAGTGGGGTGGGCTACGGGGAAGGGTTAGTGTGGATGTTTCGAGGGCAGATTCTACCGGAAAGGGGCAGCATAGATTGGCCTCGCAGATAGGGCCATTTTGGGTGAGAGGATCACGCTGGCCAGAGGGGGCAAAGGAGCTGCAGAGGACGCAGGCATTATGCCAGAATAGCCTAAACTATTGGTAACGGCCGGTAGAACCCAAGGCTGACACAAAATGCGATCACCTTTCCTCGGGAGGCCAAGAGGTGCCCTCACTCTAGGTGAGTGCATGGGGCAAAAATGACACAGACGGCCTCTTTGACACGCTTCAGGATGCAGAGGAGGGGGCTTGGGCTTGTAGAGCCAGATTCCCCAAGGGCCAGTAACCTTGACTGCGGCCCCTTTGGAGGGGCCTTCAGTGGGTGCCAGGATGCTTTTCTGGCCAAGGACACAACACATAAAGCCAAACCGCATCAGGAGTGTAATTATTGTGGTCAGCTCCACCACAAACATTAAAAAGAAAATGTCCCAAATTACGCCCCCCACCCCTGCCTGCCTCACCAGGCGCTGCTCAGAGCTCCTGGCCCTGCTTGCCCCAGAGTATTTTGTAACCTCAGACAGTCCCGACTCTCTGTGCCTCTGGGAGCCCATCCCTGGGGTTTCCAGCATTCGGTCTGGTGCAAGTTTCCTTCACTGTGGTTCTCCACCCGTTCCACCTCTCTGGGACCTTTCCTCCTGCAGCCTCGGGTCCTGACTCTGCAAAATCTGGGAGGTCCGACCCCCATCCCTTGCCGTCCGTCAAGGGAGCCTCACCCTGGCCCAGGACGAGGAGAAGCAGGAGCACAGAGACCACGGCGCTCAACCGCCAATGAAGTACGTCCAGTCGCATTGTCTACACACAGCACACTGCTGTTTTCACCCAAAGACAGCCCAGAGGCTTATCCAGCGGCAGTTCTTTGACTTCCCCGTGTGACATCCCCCCCCGCAAGGCACGGAGTTTGGCCTGGGCTGGGAGTAGGTGGGGCAAGCTGGGGAGGGAAAGGTGGATCTGACGGGAAAGCCTGACTGAACATGCAAAAACCAGTGACAGACAGGAACTGGCACTTTCCCTCGGCCCAGGCCCCCTTGGGCATCCTCCACAATACCCCTATGATACCAACAACCCTGTCCTCAAACCCGGAGTCACTGCATTCGCTGTCCTTTTAGTCATAGGCCTAATAAGGGTGCTAGAGAGTGGGAGCAATAACCTGTGAATGGGGAACCCAGGAGAGCTTTCTGGAGGAGGTTCACGGTCAGGATTGCCACAGATAGAGAAATGGGAACGACCTTTGTTCAGAGTGAAAGAAAGGGCATGAGGAAAGGCGGAGAGGTGTGACTGCCCATCCTGAAAAGTTCCTCCTTGCTTTCAGGACTGTTTCTGGGCCCATCTCAAGGTCCCTCATGCCACATTGTCCCTGATATAAGGGTCTCCGTGGGCCTCCTCTCTATTCAGTCAGAACCCGCCTTTTGAACTGCACACACGACTGTGGCATTATCTTAAGGCCAACCGCAAACCAATCTCACGCTCCCCTCCCCCGCCCCCCACGTTCCCCGCCCAGATCGAGCTCAAGGTCATTTATCTATTTGACAAAGATTTAAAGAGCGCCTGCTAGTCCAGGTGCTGGGGACTTGGCAGGGCACTCATGGGAGACCGTGGCCTCCGTCGTCCCACACCCTACGGGATCGAACGGCCAGCACCTCTCGAGTGGCTTCTCTGTGTATTTGCCGAAGCGGTCTGTATTTCCCCGGGATAGCGTACAGAGGGAACAGCGGCCACAGGTCCCCCCAAACCCCAGGTCTAGTACAGCTGGTGTTGCATGTCCCTCCAGCGACCCCGTCGCCACGCCACGCCCCCTACCCATTCCCCGGAAGTGCTCCGGTAAGAGCGGAAGTGCACGCCTACTGCGGCCGGCCGCGGTTTCGCGATGGTGGGTGGCGGCGGGGTCGGGGGCGGCCTCTTGGAGAACGCTAACCCCCTCATCTATGAGCGCTCTGGGGAGCGGCCGGTGACCGCGGGCGAGGAGGACGAGCAGGTTCCGGACAGCATCGACGCGCGTGAGATCTTCGATATCCGCCGCTGCTGCGCGCGGGCATGTTCGCGGGGGCCTGGGAGGGGGCTGATGATGTCTCGTAGTTGGTAGAGATGTGTTGGAGCCAGGCATTCCCGGCACAGGGTTCTGAGTGGGTCAGGGCGCAGAGTGCCTTTTCCTTCACTTGCCACATCTGATTCGCTCCATCAATGACCCGGAGCATCCACTGACGCTGGAAGAATTGAATGTAGTAGAGCAAGTCCGGGTTCAGGTGAGTCATTCCCAGCGTCTGAGGGAGCAGGTTGTTCGAGAGAGTCAGAAAAGCTCAGCTGGGCATTAGGAGGCTGGCGTTCTCTCAGCTCACGGACTCCACAGAGGATCTTGGGAAGGGGAGGGGATTGCTGTACCCATTGTATGGATGAGGAAACTGAGGCCCGTAGAACTTTGACGACTTGCTTGAAGCAGCACACTAAGAAGGACAAAGGGCCTTCTCCTGAGATCTCATTCCCTCAACCAGGTGAGCGACCCCGAGAGCACGGTGGCCGTGGCTTTCACACCCACCATTCCGCACTGCAGCATGGCCACCCTTATTGGCCTGTCCATCAAAGTCAAGCTTCTTCGATCCCTTCCCCAGCGTTTCAAGGTAAATTGGAACTGAGGCCCAGGGTGGGACAGGGGTGAGCTTCTGCTACTGAGGAGGACATGGAGAGAATGAATATGGACATCAGAGTGAGTGCAGCAAGGAGCCCACCTAGCAGAGATGAAACTGGGAGGAGCCTTTCCACTTGCACGGGACAACAGGTATAAAGGCCTGAGCTAGAAAGTGCAGTAAAGTAGTGAGTGTGGCAGGAAGGGAAGAAGGAAGCTGTAGATAGATTTGGAGCAGGGATGGGGCACAGGCAAGCCTTTAAATCAACAGTACTCAGCCAGTTCTTTGGGTAGAGATGATGGAGTGGCTGTGGGTGGGCTTGGGGCATAATAGAAGGTCCAGAGTCCACAGTCATGATTAGGACAAAGGATCAGTGGAAGGTGGGATATGGGGGAGAGGGAGCAAGGGAGTTGACAAGGATAAGTGCTTAGGCCCCACCTGTCTCCCTCCCAGATGGACGTGCACATCACACCAGGAACCCATGCCTCGGAGCATGCAGGTAAGCGTGGGCTGATGTGGAGGCATTGGCCCTGTGGCTTCCCCCTTGGCATGGTGCATTGTAGGGCAAGATGGAAGGAGGGGGACTGGGCGGGTGACTTCTCATTAGAGGAGTGAAGCTGGCCTGACTTAGGTCTCCTGTACTTACCATGTTCTTCCATCCTTGCCCTTTCTTTCTCCTAAGTACACAGGACCAGGGTGTGTCAGACTTTATAGTACATGAGGCAGCAGACACGAGCAGCCAGGTGGAAGGGATCCCAATAGGGTAGGATAGGTATGGGCTCTGGTGGTTTGAATAGCTTGGTCAGAGCTTAGGATCCTGGGAAGGAGGTGACAGTAGGTTGGTGCGAGTGTGTGTATATACATACAGACACAGGCTTAGAAGTGGGGTTGGCTGACAGGCTGGCCAGAGCCTGGCTTTGATCCTCCTTCCTATTCCTTCCTACCCAGTGAACAAGCAGCTTGCGGATAAGGAACGGGTGGCAGCGGCCTTAGAAAATACCCACCTGCTGGAGGTAGTGAACCAGTGCCTGTCAGCCCGCTCTTGAACCTGACTTCGCCTCCAGCCACACCCCGGGCTCATTGCCTTGTTTTCTTGAATCACTGACAGTGAGAAACTAACAGTTTGCATTTTGTAATAAATCCTTAATTTATATTAATTTCCCATTATGTCTTAGATTCTTTCATCTTGGTGGGGTCCTTCAGGGTTTGAGAGGAGTTGGTGATCGTGAGTGCGAGTTCCTATACAGGCTGGGTTGATGAGACGCAGTTCATTAAAAAAAAAAAATTAAAACAAAATTTTTTTTTTTTTTGTTTTTAAATTTCTAGGAGAGAGAGAGAGATAGCATGAGCAGGGGAGGGTCAGAGAGAGAGGGAGACACAGACTCTGAAACAGGCTCCAGGC